TCCGTCAAGACTTTAGTGAGACCACGCAGTCAACGTACTATTACGGCGACAGAACATTAACGATCGTTGGCAAACACATCAAAGGCGGGCGATTGAGGAGAATTCGAGTTGCTGCTGCTGTAGTACGTAGTTCCAGGAGACAAATGGCGCTTGCAAGGCATCATTGCGTCAATGGCAAAAAGCAGCCACCATACAGCCGTAGATGCTGTATGACAACCCCGACTTCGGTCGCTTGCATGTCGGACGCAGGTTGCCCTCCTTAGGCTCAACGGGCGATGAGGTCACCCAATCCGTTCCATACTTACATCACGATATGCTGTATGTATCCTGCTGGAGTGTATCTTCTAGACCCGAGAGTCAGGACCGAAATGCGGCACATAGGCGCACATCCGTGCCGTAGCGAGGGAGTCATCCAGTAGGTACTCTGTAGATGTTGAAAGCCAGTCCGATAGAGCCAACCGAGAGGCTGAACGCCAATAATGATCCATCCTCACGTCAAGGAGATGTTCCGTATAATCTGCTATTCCTGGTAAGGTCTACCGACGGCCAAGCGCCGGGTAGTGGCCCGAGAGGAACGCCGATCAAGGAACGCGTACAAGAAAGTCAGAGAAAGTGTCGCTCCCGCACTGATCGGCAGTAACTACTGATTGATAGTTTCCCAAAGGTTGATACCTACCGCCCATGACACGTTTAGGAGTTGTGTGCAGACACTGATAGAACCCTTGCAATGTGGCTTTAAGGATATGAGGCGCCGCATAATCTGGGCGGCAGGATGAGGTCGATTAAGCACGAGGGTTGTGTGGTAGACCAACAGTCCCCATGGCGCCGGAATCGATGCCATCTGGTCGCCTGTCCCATGAACGAGATGGAATCTGGATGCCTGAATACTCGTCATGCACCGTATCACGGTGAAGTGCGCGTTGGGCCGCCAGTAGACCCTGAAAACACAGCAGCAGTTGTTATGGGCGGGACTTTGCGCCGTCCTACGGAGTACGGGATCAGTCAAAGAGACCTGTCAGAGAAGACCCAGAGCAGCAATGAGATAGCACGTGTTGTGTGCTCAAGATCTGTCGTGGGCAGGGCCGATTCTCGGGAGTGGTGAAGCAGTAGATTCAGCGAATCATCGTCTGACACACGGCGGTGGTCCGAAGCCAAGATGACAGCAACCCGCATAAGCGAAGGAACAAATGAATTTGGCAGAAACGGTCTCTGCGCAGACGCAGGTTCGGTCATTCTGCTGCAAGTTCGTAAGACAAGCGTGTCTCAAACGCCTGCAGATGGGGTTGCAGGAGCTGGATACTCTGCATTCTGCTTTGGGATAATTGACTTCGTCATACTGAGCTGCCAAGCCGCGCAATGAATCGAGGATTATGGGATTTCCATCGCAAGGCCGTGAGTACTGATAACTGCAACCGCATAGCCTCAAGGCCGCCTTGTAGCCTTTGTAAATCGATGTAAACCAGCGCTAGAGCTGCCATTGGTCTCTAGATAAGACGCATGCCGAGTAAATAGGGGTTCGAAAGTTTTTGTGCCCCAGGCAAAGATGCAAACTAGGCAGCATGCACAATGTTACCAGGTCCCAAATACCAAGAACGCCTGCCGAGTCGGAACTGCAGGAACTTGAGCCTGGTATCCAGAAGACAGCGAAGCGAGAGAGGGCTCTGGGGCTTTGATCGTGACCGCCTACTCCAATGAATCAAGCGTGGCATGCAGCCTCAACTCTGGCCAAATCGTGGGGCTAACTCGGCCGTTGGGCATCAGCGAGAGCACTCGAAACATGAAGAGGCGGTGGATGATTCGTCGCGATGTTGTTATTGGAGCATCGAACAGGGCTTTTGAGATCAAATGCGGTTCTCAAGGCCGCGGCCGCTGTAGGCGAAAGGGCAGTCGGTGTCGAAGATGACCATTTCGCAATCCTGAAGTGTTACGCAAGAGCCATCGGCACGTTTTCATAGCACGATGCAGGCAGCCCGAGAAGCCCCCAAAGATCCCACCGCCATCGTCATCCGAGGCCAGCTGAGGACGAGGTTGCGGTGTGTGAAGCGGCAGCATCGTGGGGAAAGACGGCGTAACGATGGCGGCTGGTTGTGGCTGACGATGGAGGAGCTAAATTAAGCGCAAGAAGCCAGGCGGCCAACAAAGCTGGTGGGGTTCGTCCAAGACGGTCCCTGACTCTCTGGGACTGCGGCGTGCCTCGTGCTCCGTATCGAAATGGAGACGACGCAGAACTAAAGTCGGATAGATTGACTTTTGTCAGACGCCATGGCAGCAGCCACAGTCTATCCGTACATCCAAACTCAGGTTTCCAAGGGCGGGCCGGTCTGAGGGCTGTGTGCGCGCAGTAAGCGTTGCCTGTGAACCGTGGGGTACGGAGCAGGGTCTGGTGTTGCGCACGATGTGTCATCCGTTCCCTCTGTGATCAACATGTTGGATACCTGAGCTGGATTGAACTGGCTGACGCGGGTTACGGCTATGCAGTGCAGTGGCCATCGACGGGAATTCTAGAAGGCCTTTTTAGTCAACACGTGCTGATGGGGTCGTATGGGGCGCTTGAGGGTGGCATCGCGGATGTGACGACGGGAGGCTGTCGTGGATTGGGCGGCGGGGCAGAGGGGCAAGTCGAACGTTGCGCCGCGATAAATTCATTGCGTGAGACGGGAGTATTGCGTAGTAAGACGAAGTCAAAGCCGACGGTCGTAGGTGGCACGTCACCCAGGTAGTAACTATCTGGAAATCCAGTGAGTGGTGCGGCGTGGAGTTTGGGGTACTACACATAGATAACGGGGTTGCCAGCGAATGAAGAGAATATGACGGAGAGAAGGGGGGCGGGTGAGGGACAAGAGGACGTTCTAGATGCAGGTCGAAGTCTCGTCGGGAAGTTGGCAGGGAGTCATTTCCAAGCTGGAGGGACAAGAGATCCAGGGAGGCAAGGAGGGGGTAAGCTGCTCTGCCTTGGCTGCGAGTCGACAAGTCTAGATGGTGACCAAGAAAACGGGAAGCGATCCGGGAAGGGCGAGGAGTGCCGATCGTTGAAGCGACGAATCAATCAGATGGGTAGAAAAGAAAAAGCCAGCAGGAGGTTATTCTCCCTGGTGGACGGACGATCCTCGCAAGATGATTTGGCCATTTTGCATTCTTTTTGGGCGAGTAACAGCATGATTCTGCTGGCGGAAGGTTCCTTCCCTTCTTTCGTATTCTTCCCGTTGTATGTGTTAATTAAGTCATCGGGTATCATATTTTCCCAGTAGCCGCGCGAGGAAGCACAACGATGACTGGAAATGGCAATGACACGGGCGTCAGGATTGTTCGGATAAGGTCCCTCCCTCTTGATGACACGACACGTCCATTCAGGCTTTAGTCGCCGCCCAAGCCACAGCAGGCGGCCCACGAGGTATTGGGTCATTGGCCGCTGAGAAAAGAGACCAGCTCCGTGAGAGACAGGCCAAGCAGGCACGCAGGCAGGAGTGAATCTTTTCGGTCACTGCTGGGATATCCAGTGGCCTAGAGACCATCCGAAAGACCGCCTTGACTTTGGGACCCAAGCCAGCCTGTGTGCGGCGTGCCTGTTTCCAGCCGTGAGTTTCGATAGCGATGACTGTGACTTTCACTCAGCCACGAGAGGCGCCAGCTGGTTTGAGAACAAGTGACTGTATTCGTAGTAGTGAACATGGGGGGACGTGGGTTGGACGTGGCGGTCGTCGGGCTGGAATCGTTAGCTTACAAACAGAGTTTTGGGGGCTTTTCGATCAAAATTGATGGGCAAGTCGCAAACCGAATGTTCCCGGCCTGCCTTGTGGCCCGCCTGCGTCTCCAGCGGGAACAATGCCAGGAATAAGCTCCAAAGCAGGTCTCCATTCCGACCGTTCCAGCGGGACACTCCCCAAGACTCCCTCGGTCCCTCTGTCCTTGAAGTGAAGAATCTGGGTGTGACTGTGGGCTCCGACCCTTACTGCGTACAAGTTAGCGGGCAGACAGACAGGGTCAAGGTCTCTAGGAAACATGCCACCGGAAGCTAAAACCGCGAGACCTGTCGTGCCACCCTGGCTCCCTTTCGAGCAATGCTGCGGGACGCATTCGCTGTCGGGTGTCTTTGAAATCTTCAGTGTTGGAGTCGCAAAGATGGTGACAGCGAGAAATTTGCAAATGCGACACGGCGCCTTATTCGTGGGACATTGTTGCTCCCCTAAAAGTTCCTTCGGCCAGGCCAGAATCAAAAGGCAAGAGGTCACAAGCAATTCGTACCGCACCAGGCAGGGAACATCCCACGGCGGGCCACCGTTCCTGCTTTCCCCGTTTCTTGCCCAAGGTATCCGTACCTTCCATACCTTACGGACACCTTAGGGCCTAAGGTACTGAGGTAGGAGGAAGGAGGACTGAGAAGGCCGAGAGACCGCTGGCTCCTTCCCGGTGATTCTTTTCCCTCGCTCGGCCGGGTGACTTGTCTGCATTGCAAAGCCAAGCCGAGCGAGACTTCCTCCCATCTTTTCCCCCACACATGCAGTGCCTTCGTGTCTCGTTGTCGCCAAAAATGGGGGAGGGAAGAAGAAAATAGCAGGATAACATGGTACATGACAGAGTACGGGTCTGTGTACTTGTCGTCATGTCACTACTTTCCCATTCTGAGCCCTCCTCCACGTCAACTCGCTCGAGGATGAGGCACAGAATGACTTGTCCATGACTTGTAACTCATCGTCGCCTTCGTTCACGCATCCACATTCCCCAAGAGGCAGACCGTCCGTCCATTTGGGCGACTCACGCCTCTGGCGGTGGCCTGGCCTCTCGCCAGCCAAATGGAAAACCCTGTCGCTCCTCTTCCCTCTCCAACCATCCATCCCATCTTGTCCAATCTTTTGGGGTTTCGAGGGAGAAGACCATACAGCAAGCAGCTGGTAGTGGGCACCGTAAGGCATCTTGGGTCAAGCAGGGGGGATGGCAAGTACTTCTGAGTTGTACCCAAGGGAAGGTAGCAGTGCAGGGCCTGTTGTTCCAATTCCAGTCGTGTGGTGTCGTACCGCCTGGGGTCCTTCTGTACCTAGGTACTCCCTATACCTCACTACGTACCTAAGGTACCAAAGTATCCTGAGCTGGACGACTTTCCCCGTCTCTGCCGTCGCTGCCTCTGCCATCTCCGATCCCCGTCCTACGTCTTCCCTGCCCGTCCGCGCCAGAGCTGCCCACCCTCCGTTAAGAAGCAAACCACCTCCCACCCGTCGCGCCCCGACCCCCAGCATCACGTATTACTCTTTCCGTCCCTGCACTTTTTTTTTTTTTACTCTCATCGGACTGCTCTCCTGCCTGATGTCTATATTCTTGCACTTGTATCATATCCACAAACTCTTGACCATACTCACTTTATAATCACTCTCACATCTCAACTCCTTTCCATCCCCAACCGCCTCGGAATCATACACCCCCTGCTTTATCCAACCGGCCCCATCGCCTCAGGTCCTCATCGGAAACCAACACCCTGGCTTCACGTCAAACACACCTTATTGCCCAATCCTTCACCAACCTGCACAATACTTCACGCCCTCTTCCCCCAAATCTCTGGAGCCCAATCTGCCAGCTCACTTGCTCAAGAGGCCTTGTTCTATTTGGATTATATGAAGCCTTGCTCCCTCCTTAGCAATCCTGGCATATAGACACAGCTCTACTACATCGTATAACTTCAACAACACTTCCCTCTCAACCTCGAGTGTCCCCTCCGGCTCACCCAGTACGACACACAATTACATATCGCCATGTCACATTCATATCGGAAAAACAGCTCCAAGAGCTCGACAAGTAGTCGAGACTTTCGCAGGAGTAGCGAATCTTGCGACTCATACGAGACGTATGAATCACAGAGCACAACACCTACTTCTTACTATGCGAGCACCGAGGCGTCGTCAGTCAAAGAAGCTAGAACCGTTACTAGCAAGATCCCGCCTGTCTACGAGGAAGACATATCCCCTTCCACTAGCAACTGTTTGAGATCTTCCGTCGACACTTTCGACTCAAGTTTGGCTTCGGACGACGAAGATGAGCTTGAGCTTCAACGGGAAGCCGAACTAGACAACTTCGACAAGCACCGCGACATCCCGCCTTTGCCCACCTACTACCGCGATATCATCGACACCGATGTGCGGCCATCCACACCCCAGGACTTTGGCAAACTGTTCCCATCCATGAACAGGTTATCTATTTGCCACGACGAATTTACCCCGGACGGCAACATGAATCTCAGAGTAGACACCGTCGCCCCCGGTCGCCGCCCCTTCAACATTCAGCTCTTCCACCTGCGCATGTACGACCTCAGCAAGCGTGAGTTCTCGCTTCGACGTTACTGCCGCGACTCCGGCCGCGAAGTCTGCAACTCCAAGCGCAAGTACATTGAGGAAAACAACCAAGAGCGACCAACTCTCCAGCGATCCGTCTCAAGCGCCATCAAGACCCTCTCCATGAGGAGACCTCCTCTGTCGCGCACCAACTCGGGTGGCTCAATTTTCGGAGGCAAGGGCAAGGACGGAGCTTCGCAGCGCCCACAGTCCAGCTCTTCATCTATGCGCACTTTTGGCGACGACGCGGCAAGTTTCAAGCGTTCAGCCTCATTTGAAGCGAAATCCAAAGCTCGACCGGTTCCCAGCAACACCATGAAGCTCGAGTTCTCCAACTATGCACGCGTCGACGTGTCACGCCGCGGTGGTGCCAACAACAAGCGCTATGAGTTTGACTGGTGGGGTCACAAGTACCAGTGGAAGCGTGTCACCGACAAGAACCTCGGTGTCGTCTCTTTCCACCTTATCAAGGACGGCAACAACGACGCTCGCGATGCCGTTGCGCACATTGTCCCCGAGACACGATCGCCCAACCAGGTTATTGAGGATGAAAGTGCCGGTGGCTGGGTGCCCCCTTGCCACATGTGGATCAGCGATCGCAGCGTCCTTGACGCCGTCACCGACGTTGCTGATGTGATTATCGCCACCGGCCTCATGGCCCTTGTTGACGATTGCATCAAGACCCGCTGGCAAACGAAGAAGTTTACCCGCATCCCGGTGCCCATGACCTCCCGGTCTGTCGACGTTGAGCATGTAGGCCCCAAGGCCTTTATGCAACACCTTTTCCAGCGCCGCCCCTCTGATCAAGCTTCAAGTCCATTGCGACAACGTCCAATTTCGACTTATTGAGATGAAAGCAGGAGGCTTCATTTTGTGATCAACTCTTTTCTCCTTTCATCATTGGAAACCAAAACTTATCACTTTATTACGGATTTCTCATCTCTTGCGGGGGAAAAAAAGAACCAAAAACAAGCACATTTTCGGATGGAAGATCCAAATCGACTTGAGATCGACTTACACAGACTCCAAGAAGGGAGCAAACACAAGCAGCGGGTTATGCGCAGCACATACAGAACAGAACAGCAGACAACACACAGATGACAGCAATGTGGACATGATGGGCAGGATACGGTACCATGGGGACGATTCCTCACACTCACAGCATGGAGTGCAATGGCGTTTTGGACTCCCCTTTTTTTTTGTTTCTTTTTTTCCTTTTTCTCTTTGGAGTGTGTGTATCTATCTCTCTGTATGTATTTTCTTACTTCTTTTCTTCCATGGAAGATGCATCAAGCAGGCGCTGGACTGGAAACTCCCCCAAGAGCTGGGATGGAATGGGATGAATTGGATGAATTGCGAAAGCAAGCAAGCAAGCCCTGTACGAATTGAAACGACTACCCTCGAAACCTCATCCTTTCTGGATTAGGATTTTTCAATATGACTGAAGGCACAAAGATGCATCATTGCCTCGATTCTGATTTGCTCAAACTAACTCACTGCGCATGGCTGAAGACACCAACATGACCATGAAATATTTTCAACGCCTAGTGCTACTGCTCAATGCTCAATGCTAAAGAGAAACCGTCTTCACACAAGCTCGATTACACGATGGACATGAACACTGAAGCTTTTCCGCCGCGAGTGGAACGGGTTACCTATCGTCAATGTCACACCACACAAACTCCACTCCCCCCAATCGTGAGATTTCGGTACGACGCCAAGCCCCAGCTTGGGGAGGGGGGGGGGGGAGGTGAACCGAGGACCCCACGCGAGACTTATCTGACGACACCGACCTGGCGACACCAGCTCCGCTCTGGCGTGACCCATGACGTTCCCCCGGTCCGTCCCGCCGGTAACAAAGTGCTGGCCTGGCCTGGCCCCCCGGCCGGCCGACCGACTGAAATCACCCCACCCACCACCGCTGCCCAAAACACGTTCTTTGCTTAGACAGCGGACGGTGGAAGTAAAAGCAATGTGTATCGTGGAAAGCTCGCCTCCTCGCTTGTCTAACCGAGCAGAAGAGGTGACATCTCACCACCACCATCGTAGTTTTGCAAACGGTCCCCCGCAGTGCGATGAACGGTGTTTTGTGTTCCCCGGTTTTCTGGGGCGATTTCGAGATTCGGATTTATGACGGAATGTATCCCTTTCCATCGTTGTACTACTTCTCCCCGCTTTGATACCCTCGTTTGGTGATCCTCATCGAATAAGGGGTATCTAGAGGAGTCTGAAAGGTTCCGCGAAATCTGCTGCCCTTTGCGGGGGTGGCAACATGCTTCGTTGATTCCATGCGCGTATGTCCGCTTGTTGTTGCAAATGCTCGCTCTTTATGCCAGTATCCATTCGCCGCGCTCAGTACTCACTAAACACGAACCCGAAATCATCCTTCCTCTCGCCAAACCAGCCTGCCAAATCAAGCTTCATCAATAACCTCTCCACGCCACCGACCCTCCGTGGGACATACTCCCCTTCCTCCCTAAGCACCCCTTCCTCGCCGCCCTCCTCCTCGTCTGCAAACGCCGCCGGGTCTGCCTCCAAGCCCCGCAACGCAGCAATCACGTCCCGGATTCCGTCCTTGACATGCTTCTCCACGTCGCGGATCGCGGCGCGGACCTCCTTTTCCTCAATCTCGAGATCCACAAAGGCGTCGACGACGCCCGCGTCAGCTTCGAGGTCCATCGAGGTCCAGACAGCGTGGAGACGCTGCGTCAGAGCGACGAGGTGATCCGTGTGCGTGAGGAGGTTGTACAGCGGGTCCGTGTAGGTGGGAAAGGTGAGGAGGAGGCGGGTGGAGAGGGCGCGGAGGTAGGCTCTGTGGGCCGTGGCGAGACTCTGGGGGTCGTGAGCTGTGGTTGTGGTTGGTTCTGCTCGCTCGGGTGACTTTGTTGTAGGCGTGCTCTGAGCTAGCCATATGTCGTCGTCCTCCTCATATTCTGCCTCGACTTCTGTCGAAGGTTTGGATGCTGCCTTGGTCGATACACCCTGAGGCCCCGTTTCAGTGCCGTCCGTCTCTTCCTTGGGAGCCAGCCAGTCGTGAAAGCCGTCCCATAGGCCGGCCACTACTTCCGTTTGCAAGTATGCCTCCGTCTCGGAGAGAAAGAATAGCGCAGAGCTGCATGTCACCCAGGCGCTGCGCAATGCATTGGACCGCTGCGTATAGCGCTGACGCAGCAGTATCACCTTAGAGCGCCCTGCTCGAGTGCTTCCGGCGGGTGGTCCTGGGGATGCCGGATGATGCCGGCGTAAGGATGTGATCTTCCACAGCTCAGTGAGACGAATGTGTGCTCGGCGAATAGAGAGGAGGTATGAGTTGATGGTGGAATAGATCTGTAAGTCGGAAGGGGTAAGGAACATGTCCATGGGCGAGGGAATCTGCATCGTCAAGACGACAGGGACTGATAAAAGGAGGTTGCGGAAAGGTGTCGTGGCCAGAGTTTTCGTCGTGGGCCGTGATACGCTTGCTTCGAGTTTGAGAGGCACTGCCGGCTTGGACTTTGTGAGAGTCAACCGCAGAAGCTCCCTTGCAATCTCCAACCCCTCGTCTTCGTCCGCGTGCTGTCCCTGCATCAAGCCCATGGCCGCCCACGTCTTAGCCAGCACGGCGGCGACCTCGCCCTCCTTGACGGCAAAGGTGCCGAGGCCTTCTCGCTTCTCATACGCGAGATTGTCGGATCTCTTCCATCTGCTCCGGAGCTTCTCGTCAGCCTGCTGCGTCAGAGCCATGGCAAATTCGCCGCGGCCAAGAAGGAAGAATTCTCGCAAAACCTGCAGTGCTTCAACGACTTTGGCGAGAGGCAGGAGCTTGAGCAAGATCGTCCGTGAGAGTGTGAGGCGAATCGAGGTAATGGCGCGCGAGAAGCTCGCCGTGTGGAGAGGGTAGGTTAAAGCGGATAGCTCTTTTAGTTGTGAAGACAGGTGATCGAGGCCTTGAAGGCCAGATTCAACACTGCCCTTGACACGGACGTGGTTGAGCGATCTGCCGATGAAGAGCATTGACGATGCCGTTGGTAGGGTTACAAAGTTAGGTAGAAAAGCCGGCACCGAGATGTATTCCTGTCGCGGTCAGTCATGAACCTCACAGTGACCCATTGCCGATGACATACCTGGTCACCTTCCTCCGACTTTTGCACAAAAAAGTCCTCCCCTCCAAAGGTCGGCAACCGTCCGTAGAGGATCCAAGCAGAAACCTGCTTCAGCCAGGCCGTCTCTGCCACGGATACGAGGCTCATAGCCGTCCTCTCAATATCGACATAGCCACTCTGCAGCTCACTCCTCAGCCTGTCAATCAGCTGTGCGCCGCGACACGTTTGCCCTTGCTGCTTCTTCAGCATAAACTGCACAATCTCCCACAACCATTCCATGCGTCTCGTCCACTCGGAAAACTCCCCCACAACGGCCGTCAATGGCACAATGTTGTAGGCGCCGACAAGACTGGAGTCCTTGCGCAGTATCGTCTCCTCGACATCGAGGACCTTGCGCTGGAAAGCGGCTAGGTGGACGGACTGTATCGCGGTGGCCGTGGCGCGGCATATCGTAGATGGGTGCTCGGCGGCGATGGGGGCGGTGTAGCTCTGCAGTTTGACATGGAGGTCGCTCAGGTGGGCGGCGGTGGCTAGGAGTTCGCGCTCCGGTGGTGAGATTGCCGTTGATAGCGCATTGGGATCTGTGTTGTCGGTTCGGAGGAGAGGGGAGGGGTGCCCAGAGAGGGCGAGGAGGATTTCGTGGAGCATGCCGGCTGTTTGCTTCTAGTGAGGGGAGAGAATCGAGGTGTTAGTCGGGGATTAGGTTACAGACAGGGATTCGATCGTGGGTTCAAAGAAAGGGACGGAGGAGGAGGAGGAGGATGTGGCACATTTCGCGTGGTTGCGGCGGCTTCTTGGACCTTGACTTTTCGCCAAAGTCACGGAGAAGCAAGATGAAAGCGCCTAATAGCTCGAAGCGACACATTTACTCGTTTCTCGGTGAGTGGAGGTTGGCAATACGGCGCAGAGGAAAACTGCCGGGTGGATGTCGTCTAGGATTTGGCGGGATGGCGGGGCAGGTCGGCGGGAGGAAGCAAAAGACGGGGAGGGTTGGGCTGCGTTGCAACAACAGGTGACGGATGGTTGGCAAATGGATAAAATTACCTGATCTGTTTGGGCTGCATAGAACTAAGGTATCGTGGCACGAACCCAAAAGGAAATCCAATCTCTCTGTCTTTCACTCGGACGGGAACAGGAGAGCGCGAGCCACAACAAAACAGCACCGATGTCAAGAAGGCTCCATGCTGAGGGCCTGATCCCTTCCAATATCACAGTAGTCGCATTGATGGAAGTGGGCGCCGGGAGGAAAGCGCGATCTGACGCGACCGGACGGGCTAAAGTGGCTACACTGAGACAATGAGACCCGGCAAGGTGCTTGCGGGTCCACGTGACCATGTGTCTAAGATTAGGTAATCGCCGATGGCTTCCGGCACACCGGCACCTGGATGTGTCCTCCGTCTTACCCGTCCAAGGCTTATCCCGAACGAACTCACTTCACCTAACATGGGAATTCTCTAACTTTACAAACGCGGCCAGCGGACTCCAATAGTGGCTTGTGGTTTCTTTGATTGGGCTACCTAGGTTTCGTTTATTCGTATTGAATACGCACTGGTTGGACAAAACTGCATAGTGACCCACCATCCATCCCTTCGTTCCAAGTCTTTCACACTGAACTCAGTACCTCTTAAACGTCCACGGGTCCCATCTAGTTCACTCAGAACAATTATCCTTCAATACACACTCACGGCCTCTTGCCAGCTGGCTGCTTGCCATTGCCCTCATACGCCGTGTACATACTGGCCGTATCGCTCTGGTCGTCTTTGCGAGTTTTCTGGTCTTCTAGATAACCCACTGCTCCGCCATCGCCGCCTCCGACGATGATCTGTCCACCACCCTTTACCTTACCGACAACCATACCCTTGGCTACGCTCTTCAGGATTGCTCTGCGGGATACACCAGTCACATCGATGTACACCAACCCAACGTTCTTGAAGCCGCCGCCAATGTTCCTGGATACTTGGCCAGCTTCAGCACCCCAACGGTGCTCAACCATCTGTGACACACTGGACGAGGTGCCAGTCAACAGATTACGTCCTGCTTGATCGATGCCGTCCGCAACAGTGTTGAACGCCATCAAGCTCCTGTTCAGCAGACCAGGCTTGTAACCCTCAATTGGGTTGCCGTCCTTATCGTATCCTCTTCCACTGCCATCCTTCTTTCTAGCCAGGGTGGCGCCCAGGTTTTGGGCCACTTTGCCCACCGCACCAACCGTGGTCGCCGACAGACCAGCCGCCTTGGTGGAAAACTGGTTGATGCGTCGTACACGGTCGTGCGCGGCAGGAGTAAACGTCACGGGTTCGGTCGTCGCCTTTGTCTTCTTTGTGAAGTTGTCGGCCGAGGACTGCAAACCCTTTGTGATCAAGTCCGACGATGTCACAATGAGTCGAGATGCTTTTGAAGCATTCGACACCAAGAACGACTTCTTGTACGATGGGTGCATAATCATCTCGCGATACTCCTGCGACACGGGCTGAACGGTAATGGCTTGGCTGTTGTCGGCAGGGAGTGTAATCTCCACCGGATCTAGCATGCCATGTGAGTCAAGCTCGGCCGAGGTGCCGCCAAACTTACCTTTTGTTCCAGGCTTGACGCCCAGCTCCTCTACAACTTGGTAGTTCTCAGTCAGCTCCCCAATGACACTTCCGTCTTCTTCGTCAATCAGGACAATCCGGCCGCCATTGTGCTGGGAGCTGTGGGCTCCCGGAGCATAGCCCTGTCCGGGCTGGTAGTCGGCCGGGTTGTAGGCGGGGAGGCCATCGGCGGCGGCAGCTCTGGACTTGGCAGAGGGACGATCGGTAACGGGGTCGTCATAGGGGTATGCGGAGGCCGCGGCGGCGGCTTTGGCCGACTTGGATGAGGTCTTTGGCGGCGGGGCTCGCTCGAGGAATGCGGTGCATTGCGCAAGGATCGTTTCGAAGGTGTCGACGTCCTCCTGCAGTCCTTTCCGGCTACCTGTGTCGGGGAACTCGATACGTGTGAAGGCGCCACTGTCTGGGCCCAGATCCCACCTTGGAATCAGGTAGCTTGTTGGCGGCTGGTGGTAGATCTGTGTTGTCGCAGGAAGAGGAAGATCGAGCTCGGGAGGTAGATGGAGGTGCAGGTAGAAGTCCTCGGCGGGGGAGTCTGCGTCGGTGAAGGGTGAAGAAGTCGGTACCATCAACAGCGACAAGGTCTGGGGCCCGGCGGGTGTGAGCGACTCCTCCTTGCCATTGGAGATGTGGAAGGCTTGGACGCCATTGATGGCGTACAGAAGCTTGGGGTCCTGGTCTCAAGGTCAGTGAGGGCGGTCGCAATATTGTCTCCGTCTTGGAGGGCATACGTTGTGTCCCGAAGCCATGATGGAGATGGGTGCGCAAAACAGGCGCAGAAAGTTGAGGTCTTGGTTACGTCAGGTCGGGCCTCGTACAAGATGGTTGCTCTTGGGTGGTGGTGTCTCGAGATGCGACTGGCGCCTAAATGTCGTGGAGAACTTTGGTGAGAGACCGCGGGGTCCAGAGAGTCTAAGGGGCTCGGTTTGCAAGTGGGAGAGAGCGTCTGCTCGGGAAGTTGTTGAAGCGAGTTGCGGTCCAGAGGATAAAAGGTCTGGTTGGTAGGTGGACGCCAGCGATCAGACAAAGTGACGACTGTGTAGGGGAACTGCAATAGCTATTCGCCAGCAGGGAAACCTCTGAGCAGGAATCGCAAGGAACGGTAAAAGGTGAGTGGCACTTCGGATGGTGCTCTGAGACTTTGTGACGACGAGCCGGGTTCTGTCTATTCAAGGACCGGGGGTGTAGTGAGGGCGAATATGGTTGGATTGTGGGTGCGTCGAAACAGCTTGCATGGCGCTTAAAGCAGCTGTTGGTGGTGGTGCGCCGTGCTTTAGCTTGGTGATGGCGCTGGTGCGTGCCCGAGAGGCCTCTGGGCGGCGAGCGACGTCATTGGCCACTGTTGACTTTCAAGGTGTTCCCAGTCCTTGCACTCAACGACACCTTGTTTGATGGGAGACTCGACGATAAGTGACGGACCCCTTTTTCGCCCCCCATCCACTCTCTCTTCAGTGGATTCGTCACTTGAAGTTTGATTGTTCAGTAAGAGGGGTTGAAGTGTCGATTGCTTGCACAGCCACCTTGGATGCTGCAAAAGAGGCGGGCATGGCGGGGTTCCAGGTGCTTGGAGGAGGAGGTGCAAGACTTGGCAGAGGGAACCAGCGACTTGGGAAGCTCTGACCACCTTTTGATGCTCCTTCCAGCGGCTGTCACACGCACTGACACACCCCCATGTGCTTTCTGGCGGGCCCCACCCGCTCATGGTTGATTGTACTGTAATGACGAATAATCATAGAGAAGCAACCCATGGTGAAGGAGACGGTGGCGGCATCAACACCTTCGACTCAGGTCCAGCAGGGTGCTTCACCTGATTGGTCAAGACTTCCAGAGCCTCAGCTTCTTGTCAGTTGTGTTGGATAGAGAGACTGAGGAATTTGACTTACCCGTGGAGCATGTGAACCGAACCACCAGCACCAGCCACGGAGAGCAGCTTCACCCAACATGAACCGAGCCATACTGGAAGACAGACACGAGCTGAGAGGGACAGAACCTGCAGAAGACGTTAGATGCGTATTCAGGTAACCAAGAGCAAAGGTAAGGAAGCCATACCACTGTCTCGGTGTGCCAGCTTGCAGATAGCTATCCTCGGACTTGGACTTCAAGAGTACGGATGAATGAGACGGCTCCTTGTACCGAAGTCCAGTCTGACCCGAAGTGTTCGACAATGATCTTGATGTTGGCAGGCTTTCTGGAGACAGTCCGGGAGGGACCGACACCACGACAGCCAGTACGGATAGTCATCCTACAGCATCCTATAGATGACAAGCCTTCGTGTTCAGACTCTTTGCAAGGAAGTTGTTGACGTGAATTGATCAGTCGGTCATCTGGTGGAAGACAGGCTCTTGGGTCGAAGTCATGACGGATAGCTTTGGCAATGACCTTGGACAAGCCGACTAGAGTACAATGACTTCGTCACGACACATGGGCCGATGACATGAGAAAAGCCAGTGTAGACACCTTGGTAGAAGACATCATATCGTGAGATGCTGTGACAGGAAGCGTCGTGATGAAAGACCCATGATGGAAGATGCTGTTGTGATAGATGCCATGATGAGTGTGTTTCGATAAGAGACAGCCACGACGAAGAATGCTTCTTTGAGAGACGGCGTGATAGGGGGTCCAGGCTGAGAGATGATGATGTACAAGATGCCGGGAAGACGCTGTGATGGGAAATCTCGTGATAGGGGATAGCCATGGCAGACAGTGTCCTGATCAAAAACGTCGTAGTAGAAGATGCCGTGATGGAAGGAGACGCAGTAAGAGATCCATGATGGAAGAGGCTGTCATACAAGTTGCCAATGTGGAGGATGTCGTGAAGCAAGATGTCGTGAAGCAAGATGCCGTGATGTAAGATGCCGTGAAGCAAGATGCCGTGATGTAAGATGTCGTAAAAGAATTTGTCGTCCAAAAAGCTCCCGTGAGAGCACATAGTTTTTGAGGTCCCCCGCTGGAGCCCAAGGACCGGGGCGTCGGAGATTGTCGGGTGAAGGTACCGTCGGGTAAGACACCTTCTGTGAACCACAAAGGGTTCATCAGGGCAACGTCCACCTGCACCGCCCTGAGCGGCACAAGGCTTCGGAAAGCCCGTCATTTCTCGTAGAATTGTCAAGATCATCCCCTTGAAGACCTCCTTCAGGGCGTCCCGCATGCCCTTCTTGAAGGCCTCCAGAAGCTCGAGCATGGCCAGACTTGCCCATTCGTTGACTTGGGGGCGGAGTCTTGTCCAGCCACGTCGGAGGGATTTTCGAAGTATGACGAGAAAACAGAAGGCGACCGCGACCGGTACCGCGAGGATGACGTAAAGGGGGTCCATGTTGTAAGTATAGGTGTAAGTGTGTATCGCTATGCGGCTCGCTTGTTGTATTCGGTAGCGAACGATTGAATGATAGACGACCTCCCTGGAGGAGAAAAGAAGAAGAAGAAGAGAAGAGAAGAGAAGAGAGGGGGGGACAGGATGGGTAGATATACTGGTCAAGGACTTCGTGGAACAGAATCAGACCTTCCGGCTTTGAGACCCAGGGATGCCGTTTCCTGCTTCCAATATCTGGAAGAAATGCAATCTGGCTGGCACTGCTGCTGAGTCCTGCTACTTCGATGCGGAAATTGCACGTATCTAGCCGTTAGAGGCAGTGACTGACCATGTCATCCCTTCCGTAACTTCTTCTCAACATGCCTGATGAAGCAAACATTCGGCAAGGACTCATTGAAAGGTATGTATTCCTGCTCAGTATCTGCACATTCTTGCCGGATGCATATAACTAAAGCATGGTAGTTGCCTAAACCTCTGGCTATGATCATCTGGGGACGGCCGCTACTTCTACGGTCCACAGACCTCTGCGAAAACTGCGATATCGACGCATCATGTTGACTCCTCTTTCTCAGTTCCCCATGTGCGATACGCTTCAGCCGGCATTCCTGCCGAGCCTCATCATCGTGAACGGAAGGTTTATAGTACCTTCCCTCTCGTTAACCCTGGCAACAGTATCCCTGTCTCCATCTGGGCAGTGACGTCTCGATAGTGGCTATCATTGGAAGTAGGGCCTGATGGCGACGTTTTCTCAAAGAGGTTGAGCACAGATTGCCCGTGGTGAAGCATCTATTCGTGACTAAATGGTCCCAAACTGAGTTTACTATCCTTTCTCGAAAATTATCGCTGAAAGGTTATGTACGCGATCTCAATTAATGAAAATATGGACTTTATTACACGAATTAGAAGAACCTTCTCGGTCACCCTGACGTTGCTTGATCTTCTTGCTACTTTGATCCGCATGAAATCTTCGTAGCCCTTTGGTCTTCCCCAAAAGTTGTGAGTGCAGAACAGCCGCAAGTCACAAGAGAATGAAGTACTTCGTTTTCTGATTCAACCCCTTTTCCTGTAGTGTTGGTGATATCGCCCCTTTATCAGTCCCTTCCATCCCTCGCATGATGTCCCTCCATCAGCGGGCTTTCGTTGCCCTTATTGTTTTGCCATTCGTCCTCTTCTTTCTCTTCCAATAGCGAGCGAGCTAACACGGCGAACGCCTGGATGACACATTCCAGCAGGATCAGCCAAACTATTGATTGCAGTGGATTATCGTAGTAAGACTGCCCGCTGAAGAACATGGGAACGAGCGACAAAGCCCCTATGATGCAATGCTCCAAGGCGGTTTCCGAGTCTTCAATGCCGCTCTCTCTTAGAGCGCGTCTCGTAGCGGCTAGAGCGCGGAAATCATGTATGGCATAGTGTAGAAGGAAGCCAAAGATTTTCCACCCATCATACTCCCCAAAAATACCTCCCCAACACCCCTTGCCGGATCTGCGCAGGACCAGCCTATAGTCAGGCTCCTGACTAGGTGTTGTGCCATTCAGAAGATCCAAGCCTTGGAAAATTCCGTTGTTGCCAGCCTGTTGGGTGCCGAAATCTTCAATGCTGCCGACGTCGTAGACCTTGGTGTATTTGGACCAGATGAATCCGTAGGGATCGTGGCCGAGTGTGCGCCACGGCTGCTCCTCGGCGTCGAACCGAAGCACGAGAAGCAAGAGGAAATAGTCCATGATGGCGAGGAGAACCATTCCGTATAATTCGCAAATGATGCGCATGCATTGGTTGAGGAAGTAATAGTCCGCTAGTTTGCCGTCGTATGCATCGATGGCACTCTCTATTGCGTCGAAAACGTTGTATATATACATTTTGTACGCGATATGACTATGCTTTGTGTGGAAAAGAGTGAGGAGGCGATACGTTTGATGATTGTTGTGTATTTGGAAGATAGGGTGATCGAAAGATGGGGCGACGAGGACAAGATGAACGAGTAGAAGCAGGGTGATGAGACGGTGGGTTGGATCTTTAATAGTCGACAAAGCCGGAGAAAGACCAAAACTGTTCACTAGGGTAGACCTACAAGAACAGCTTGACTCGACACATTCTGGCTGGTTGACATCTTGTTATAAGGATCAGAAACATTATCTCCGAAAAGGTTTGGGCACCCGTTTGGCCGGACTTCAGCATTGTCATCAAACCTTGGTAACTACAGTTTCTTGCCATCAATGGTCACATAATCAGCCCTGAGGGGCCCATCCATTGAGAAAACCATCTCGGTGAGGATATTCAAAACATCGGTTACGAAGTGTCGGAGCAATCTCTCCTCTTCCACGAGATATGGCACGGCATAGAAAAGTGCGTCCCGGTGCCTGAGCGTGGGGGCTGGAGACGGCAAATTTTACGAATCGAAACACGGCTGCTAGACGAACATCTTGTTTGTAGCGGTTCAGCTTGGTGTAGAGAAGAAGACGGCTTTACTTCTGTTGGACAGTCTGCTTGGCTATACACCGGATATCTTGCCAGCATCGAGCGAGGATCCATTTGAGACGTTGTTCGTGGTTAATAGGAGCACGAACGGCAATCATCTTAACCGTGATGTTTTTCGTTAATGTTCGTAATGCTCACGAATAGCTTCTAGAGCGATGTGTGGGGTTTCACGACGCCAGAGAAGTAGATCGTTTAGAGTTTTCAGTGAAGCCACCCACCAGGAGACCAGAGCCATGAGATCGAAGCCGCAAAGGAAAGCGAAAAGCCTGATGGTTAAAGGCTTTGCTGGAGTTCCTGGAGCTTCAAACGATGAGTCACTAGCGCAAGATCATTGGTCGCTCGGTAGGATGTCCTCTTGGTGAAGGTGCCGGACCGAGACCCTGGTCCGCCTTGAAATCTGGGCCGGTTCTAGCGGGAGACATGGACCACCAGTTCATCTCGGACAGACCAAGGATTATGCTATTGGATTTCAAAGTTGTTGATATCTGTGCAGTTGAACAATTGCATGCTACGCGTATGCTATTTCTTGAAGATACAACATGGCACACAGAAGTTTTGGCACTTTGAACGAGGGTGAAGAGGCAGCATGGACACGGACATAGCCAACGTGCCCTCGTTTTCTTGGACCGTTCCCAAAATTTCAACGGGGATGCTTTACCCGACTCATCGAGATCAATTGAAGACAAAACACACGATTAACAAAGCTTCGAGGGGCGTACCATCCCTGATTCACGGAGCGACGTCAGAACTCACCCAAAAAGCTCGGTGACACTGACACCCGCTTCTACTCCCACATCCCGAAGAGCAAGATGCAACCTCCCCAGCAAATCAGGACTCGTCACTTCCCAAGCATTACCCATCTTCTGTCAGTGCTCAAAACATTCCGCAGCAGCATTGGGCCAAACAGGGTCCTGCATTTGCTCTCTCTTTCCCACGAAGCTGAAGAGGGAATGTCGTTTACGCGGCAAGTGGTGGTGATGGAAAGTGGAAACGACCAACCGACCCGTCCGGGTACTCGAAACCCTCGGGAGCCCCCAGCTCTTTCCCAGTACCAAGAGCTTAGTCCCAGTTCTTGTACCTTAAGGGTCCAAGCAGGAAGGAGGTCAAGAAACATGAATAAATGCTCGAGACCCCCCTTCCTTCTGCGTTTTCTGTTTTCAAATGTCTTTGGCAACTTTGACCCGTGTTCTTGGACCAAACTTCCAATCCATAAGAATTATTGGGCAAGTCGTATGAATGAGTTATCCTGCCAATTCCAACATCGGACGCAAGACTTGCATAACAAGACCCGAAAACGGCCTAGCGGCCTTTTTTATGCTTCTCAGCTTGCACACAGCTCGCATTACCCCCTCCATTGAAGCACCCTCACAACCAGTGGCACGCGACCCCCTCAGCAGCTCCTCTAGGCTCCAGTGACCTGGAAAGGCACAGCTCGCACCGGTCATCGGCCGAAAATGGTCGGAATTACAGCGTCTCCCTCGGCCGGCACTGCAGCGGCAGCGGCAGCGGCAGCGGACGTGCTCGCCAAGGTTTGGAGGAGGGAATGAGATGACAGCTTATCCAGGGAGGAGAGGGGGCTTTCTGCACTATGCGGAAATTGGAGTAAACGAGAGAGATCTCAACAAGTGTTAGGATCACCGCCACAGCTTTCTTCGCTTCTCTCGACAATTCCTCGTCGGACATTCGAGACCTTCCACTCGTTTTTCTCCCACAACCATCCCCGCCTAGGCAATCGTTCAACCTCGGAGAAATTGAACATAGCACACATCGAAGGACGGAGAGATAAGCTCAAAGTCGAATACCGAACTTGACAAGCAACTGTAGCGACAATGGCTCGTTCCTGGAAGCCTGCCTTCTGGGCTCTCTTCCTCATGGTGCAGCTCGGCCTCGCCTCCACCGTCGCCGAGAAAATTGGTCTCACGAGCAAGCCCGTAGCATCACTCAGCCTCGAGGAGATTGACGAGCAGCTGCAGGTAAGTGCGAGGAGAAGCAGAAGATGAAACCAACCCGATTGGACGCACGGGAGAGCTCAGAGTACCGAAAAGCATCAGCCTAGAGCTTCACAACTGACGATACCATCCTAGCAATGCTCGATAGTCCAATCCCTAACCTCCTCCAAACTCGCCTCCCTCTCCGAAACCCCCTCCCTCCTGTCCCGCGCCTTCGGAACCCTCTTCCCCGGCTCCCCCGCCGTAAACGCCCTCCTGGCGACCCTCTACATCTCCGGGCCCCCCAACTTCCTCCTCGCCCTCTGCCCGACGGATATTGACCCCTCCTCCCTCTCCGTCATGGTCGCCTTCGCCGTCGGAGGGCTCATGGGCGACACCTTGTTCCACCTGCTCCCCGAGATCTTCCTCGGCGAGGACGAGCCCGAGCGCGCGCGCCTCGTGCTCGTCGAACCGAACCGCAACCTGCTGCTCGGCGTCGCGATCCTCGTCGGCTTCATGACGTTCGTGGCCATGGATAAGGGTCTGCGCATCGCTACGGGCGGGGAGGGCCATTCGCACGATCACGGTGGGCACTCGCATGCGCAGGAGCACGGGGAGGCCAAGGCCGAGGGCGTGTCGTCTGCTGTGGAGAAAGCGGGCGAGGTCACCTCGCGCAAGAAGAAGGCCGGGACCGACTCCGGATCTGGAGCCGACGGCGCCGTGGACAAGCCGGAGAAGGAGATGAACCCCAGCGTGAGACTCGGAGGCTACCTGAACCTGATGTACGCCTTCCTCCCACCCAGTCTTCCACTCGGCCTCCGGGCGCGATTCTACTAATGACTGGCTGTTCTATACTGACTTACATCCCACAGCGCCGACTTCACGCACAACATCACAGACGGCCTCGCCATGTCCGCCAGCTTCTACGCCTCCCCGACCATCGGCGCAACCACCACCGTAGCCGTCTTCTTCCACGAGATCCCCCACGAGGTCGGCGACTTTGCCCTGCTCGTGCAATCCGGCTTCAGCAAGCGCGCCGCCATGGGCGCTCAATTCGTCACGGCCCTCGGCGCCCTCCTCGGCACCCTCATCGGTATCGCCGTCCAGGAGCTCGGCGGCAGCGGCTCCGGCTCCGGCGAGGGCGGTATGCCGCGTAACGCGGGGCTCTGGGGTACCAGCTTGGTGAGTTACAAACCTGCACTCTTTTCTCTCGTGCCGCCAACATAAGTTTGGCGTGACGAATCACAAGTTGCTGACAATGGACCTGATAGACCTGGGGCGACTTGCTTCTGCCCTTCACCGCGGGTACCTTCCTCTACGTCGGTACCGTCGCCGTTATCCCCGAGCTGCTCGAGACGGGCCCGAACAAGATGGCCGAGCTGCGCAAGACCCTCGTTCAGTTTGCCGCCATTGCTGTCGGTGCCGGTATCATGCTGTACATTTCGTGGCATGACTAGACAATGCGCCCTTTAAGAGGTGCTTCAAATTTGCCCCGTGCACACGTAAACATGTTCATGTTAGATGGGCCCTCACTGAAAAAGGCGAATACGCCATGTAGACTATATAGAGACAATAGACAGAGCAGGATCGTCTGCCACTGCCAGATGAGAAGGATTTCTCCAGCCAAAAGTGACGTGAAAACAGCCATCACCATAATCTGGTTACGCTTACCTCTGGATACAATGCAACCAGCAATACGGATATAAGGTAGAGAGTAAGCTGGACGAAAGGGGTGATGACCTACACCAACCCAAAAACGGCGCCTTCATAGCAACAGACCGTCCCAAACACCATTTCCAACAACTCGGTTGACGGATCGTCTAGTCCCTGACCGTCTGACCGGCTTTGGTAGCCAGTGCGGGCGCAAGAGAAAGCATGTGGCGTTCGTCGACGGGAGTCAAAAAGTTGGGGTAAAAGAGAAAGTAGACAATGTAGAGGAACATGTTGTTGTCCTTCGACTACATACATACTGAAGCAGAGGGGAAGCTGAATAATACACATACACACACATACACGCAGTTCCCCGCGAAGGAATAAGCTTGTCGAGACCGGGGTAAGAACTACGAGTGTTTCAAAGAGACTTGCGTATTGCGAGTAGGCTTGCGATTTTGCGCGCATCGATTGCACTTGTTGGGCTGACCAAGTAGCCTAAGCTTGTCTGACTGCTCTACCATCTCCCTATCCCAGGAAGAATAGAACAGTGGAGGCTTGTATGATGCAATTCCTGGGCGGTCTGTAAGTTTGCGGCTGTGAGCACGCAATGAGCTTGGTGAGCAAATGTCAAGAGGGTTGACGCAATACAGTCCTGGAGATGGTGTTCTGGTTCACCTCAGCCTCGAGGAACATGATTTCCGGTGTAGCGAAGTCGGGGAATTATTCATCATGGAGCTTGGTCAGCTCTCGTGGTTTTGGGGATGGTTGCCAATGAACCGGGAGATGCCCAAGTGATATGCGTTGTTGTCCATGGCCTGGCCTGTCCACCAGCCTACTAGTGCAATAGCGACATTGACATGAGGCGCTCTGCAGGGCGCGGTACGCATCAGCGGTATGTAGGGCGCAATGGGCGCGTGAGTCAAAGAGAGACTTTAGGCTTGGCCTCCAAAGTTTCTACACCTACAGGCTAGTGGTGGGTGCATGGCCATGTGTGCATGACGCCTTTTCATAGTCTGGGAATGACCCGGAATCGAAAAAGCTGTCCCATCCGTCGTCTGAAGGATCTCCACGTCCCGATTGGAGGCGGAATCCCATCATCGTAGGCCCGCTGGGGTCTGGCCATAGACATTTTGCGATGAGGCCATGTGCGGAAGGGCGGTTAACGGGAGTGTTAGGTAATACTTCCGGACTCTCGTTCCGGAGCGTGGGATGTCTCCAGCATGTCTCCAGTGCTGTCCATCCAAAGGCGCATCGTGGGTCCTTTTCCCTTGGACAGATGGCGCTTATGGCACTCCACTCTGCGCAAAAGAGGCAACAAATTGCTCGTAAAAATTTTCTCGAAAAAAAACTTCAACCACACTGTCCGACCGTCGACATCGCAAATACCCATGTGCCATCGTAGACCGCGGCCATCCACGGCTCGTTTGTCGTCGGCTCAAAGTGGATATTCTGCTTGGGATATTCGTGGTATTGCACCATCGTCACTAACACCCACAATCCACATCAAACGAACCCACAGTTGTCTCCTGTTGTTCTCAAGCATGCCCGTTCAACATTGGCTTGCTTCCCGTATGCACCCCTGATTTGGGTCAGTCGATCAGAACCTCACGGCGGCTCTAGCTGCTGCTCACAAAGGAGCCGCACAGCATGGCCATGCAGCATTGCAGGTAGTGATGCGCCGTAAACTGTAACCCGAAGAGCCCCATTCTGTTCCGCGATGGAGCCTCAAGTTTGTCTTGTCTCAACTTTTCAAGATCCGCTTGCTCCCGTGCCTTGGCCTGACGTACTTGGCTCGTTCCAGCCTTCCATTCAGGCGTTCCATGCATTCTAGCGTCATCGCCCCGATGGATCTCATCAGTCATAAGCTCACCATCGTCGTGCGGCTGTTGTTACTTGACATCCAATTGCGCTCCTGGTAGGCCGCAACGTGGCCAGCTGTTCTCTCCGGGTTCTCTCCTGCAGTTCCCGAATTGGTTGACGATTCGTGATGTGACAGTAATGGCTTCTCTCTGTTTGTTCTTTTGCATGTTCCATGGTGTGTGTGCCATCCAATGGTCCATGCGGCCACTACCTTGGCGAGGCCGCGAGTGGCCATTCGAGACCTTTGCGACTCTGAAGGCGTGGGATCGAACGTAAAATTTTCACTTCACGATGGTCATGGTCGTAGCTCTGATGGATCTCATTACTTTCGGCGTCCCCTAACGTTAAGAACTCGCGAGGCACGCCCCCATAAGCGCACCCTTGGGATGGATCAGGGCAACCTCCAGGGCCCCAGACCACCGGGGGATCCACCGGCTTGACAGAGGGTATCGACCGCTAACGGGAGGCCGAACCGGGTGGCCGATGTGCCTCCGCCGCGGGAGTCCACTTTCAACCGTGTACGTCAAGGGGACCCGATGGCATGGATCTCGTGTAATGCCAGCAACAGCCGCCAGGCACCTAAAGGCAAAGCGCCGCGCCCCTGGATGGATCTCATTAGACATCGATTCCGTGTACGTAAAGCCCAGCCGGTTGTCGTGTGTTTTTGCGAACTTTGCAACTGAATTAGTTTTTTCTTCTCACCCACGTCGTTTGTCCATTGGATTGCGATATCCACCTCGCGTGTGTTTGAGGGTGAAAACGATTGAATCGAGGTAGAGGTACTTGCGATACTTGCTGTACTTGTCGTGTGCTTGTACCCTTTGTTAGTTTACCCAGGCGGCCCTTGTTTATTCGACGGGCTTGTAATTTTTCGACCAACGACACACCTGCTCCTATGCTTGAAAATACGCCTGGTGCGTGTGACTGCGTATTGCAGCCATGACGACGTGAAGTGCTTGGGAAGGAAATTTCCCACCCTTGCCTGCAGTCGTCGTGGAGGGTGATGGAACGAATTGAAGCTGCTGATTGGGACAGCGGTGTCGGACTGGCGACGCGATTGGGGTCGATCATTGAGGAACAGAGAACCTAACAAGACTTCTCCTCGGCAGCAGGCTGAAAAGTATGCCACTGGCTGCCCGGTCGTGGTTCTCCCGCTGTCTCGTGCGTCTTATCACAGCTTGGTGTTGAGGGAAGTGGCAGGCCGCAGGGAGGCAGATAATAGTGTGACATTTTGGACGTTGGCTCGCTGCAGCCGTTGGCAGATTGCTGGGGTCGCGGATCTTGAATCCCATGATTGCTCCCCGCGTGCCCGCATCACCCTCGGTTTGAGTTGCTTCTTGCGTGGTGTCGCGGGGGCGGCTCTCTTAGCTCTATTCTGAGTCCCCATTCCCCAGTCTGGAGATGGCAACGGCTGGAGTCTGGCACGGCTCCGATTGAGCTCCGAGAGCAGTGGTCTGCGACATTGCAAGTAAACATTGTTGCGAACAGGTGCTAGTGCGGTCTTTGTCTTTCGCGTCAATGTCATCCGGTAGGGCGCTGGGAGATTCGGCTGACTGTCTGTTGGTGTCGGACGACAGCGTGACCGCAGTAGGGCGTATCGAGCCATGTCGGTGGTCTGAGAATGCATGAGAGTACCGGAAGCACGACAGGTTTGCGGCCAAGGTTGCAGCCAAGTGCCTGGGCGGGCTGCGTGTTGTTCACACTGGTTTTGCGCAGAGGTTGCGCATTTTCAATTCGAGTATGGGATCGGCGAGAGACTTGAGCTTTCACTAGTTGGCTGGCGCTGGCGTCACAGTCATCAGGGTCCAAATTGATCCGTCATGTCAGCAGACTGACTGTACCAGAGGCTTGAGCCGGGTTCCGTTGGCGATGGTCGAGATTCCGAGTGGGTGGAGATGCATGTCAGAAGCATCGGCCGGGAAGATGAAAGTTTCCCTTGATTCAGACACTATTGAAGTGCTTCCCATGCCTTACCGCCGTGCCGCCCTACCACCTTACCAAGCATCAGGAAGTTACCGGCCGAGAATTGCTGTCTCGTTCTTGCCAAAGGAAGGTAAGGAGCACCTGCCGATCATCGGCGCCGTGTGGTGGTGGAGGAAGGTCCAGTCAAAGGGTCTTGCTCGGTTCTCGTCATTTTAAAGCGGGTCCTGCGCCTTTCCACGACGTCCAAGTTGACATGATGACTCTTTTGGCGAGCAAGTGCGACACGCTAGCAAAGTTGAATCTGAGATTCCCAACCTTGGATTACCAATCTCAAAGAATTCTAAGAAGCCTTTAATTTTGAAACGGCAGGGAGAGACAACAGAGGCATTGCTGTGTAATGTACCTTACCTTAACTTGTGAGCCTGGGGTTTGATGCGTCTCGTCTTGCATGGTCTACATGGCATCATTTGGAGCATTGGAAATCAGGGTCTGTTGCAGTTGAATCCTTCTCTGTGCAACAATGGACTTTGATGTCGAGAAACCTTTAATAAGCTTAGGTAAAATACCTTCAACAGGTACCTTATTCAACACCATGGTACCTCAGCTAATTCAATAATGGGAAACCTGTGACGAGAAACCTGGATGGCCCAGAGAAGTTGCGGAGCAGCAGACGGAGTCATAGCTGCCATTCACGCCTTTCACGCCGTTCTATCGCAGCCGGCGACGTTTTGAGGGTCGGAGTCTCGGAGCCTCCACCTAATTGCGTCCAACAACCGGTGGGCTACTCCGTACAGTCACTCAGTCTACCTACCTACCTTACATTACAGAAGGGAATGGAAGTCGGAGCATGCCCTACAGCGCTGGGGTTGTCTCTAGCGCATAGTTGTATAAGGTAAGCTCGACAGGAAGGGCGTCACTTGTCGAGACCAAGCATCCAAGCTCGCCTTTGGGAGCGCCAGTCATCCGCCATGCCATCCACCATTCTAGTGGATCCCATCCTTCAGATTTTGTCTTTCTACTGTCTTCTGCTCCACTTTTCACCTTCCTTTGCACACTGAACACACTGAACAACCGGTCAACAGCAGGGCAGGCAGTTCAAGTTCCCGTCTCGGCCACTGCCCGTGCAACCGCAAGTCTCTCGCCCGGGCACCTACCTACCTGCCACCCACCACCCACCCACTCTCAAAATGTCGGTACCTCATCCGAGTACCTCATGTACCTTGGCCAGGTACCGGTACGTTTCCCACCTCCCTCCATCACGCTGGCTGAGGATGAGGAGCCCGCCCTTTGCAAGTGCGAGGAAGACGTCGACGGTGGAGGGTTTCCAGGTTGTTTCCGGCCCTGGCGTTTGCTGTCATGGATCTGCTCAAGTCGAGTCGAGTCGAGTCAAACAATCACGCTGCATTGCACTCCTGCCCATCCATCTGCTCCCTTCCCATCCTTGACATTGACCCGACCTTAAAGAGACACGCCTCGCCCACCCTTTTGTCATGGAAATGTCTATATTTCTCCGTACCACTCACAGGCTTTCATCTTGGTTTCATTACCATATCGTCACTTACAAGACTCCATCCGGTTCCCATCTAATACCTGGGGGATCTTCACTCAAGCCTTCGTCTACATACATATAAGCTACGCACCCCACCTCGGGGACATTCCCATCATCGTCATCGTCACACCCAACCAGCTCCATCCACCATCAATTAGCCAAAATGTCGAGCCACAGTGACATGAGCTCGGTCATCTCCTTTGCCCGACAGCCTGCTTCCACCAGGAAGCAGAGCATCGAGGTCAAGATCAACGACCACTACAGCTCCAAGGTCTACACCTCGGGCAACCCCATTTCTGGAGAGGTCACAATCACGCCCAGCCATGACAGCCGATTCGATTTCGTTCAGATCATCCTGATCGGCATCTCGAGGACTCGCCTTGACGCCGTTCAGATTCCTCAGCTCTCTTCTCACACCTTTCTGAAGCTCGAGATGCCCATTCCCGCTTCCACCTACCCCGTACCCCGGATTTTCGAGGCCGGCAGGGCTTACACCATTCCCTTCAACTTCGTCATCCCGCACCAACTGACAATGAGTGCTTGCACTCACAAGGCTCAGCACGATTACATCCAAGACTACCACATGCGCCTGCCCCCGACCATGGGCGGCTGGGAGAGGGATGACATGGCCCCCGATATGGCCCAGGTCCAGTATGTCATCAAGGCCCGCGTTGTGCGACAGGACGAGCTCGGCGGAAAGCCGATCAAGGTCATGGAGGACACCCACCACATCAAAGTCCTCCCTCGATCCCCCGAGGACCCGCCTCTGAACATCACCAAGCAGGACAAGAACTACGCCCTCAGCAAGACAAAGACCATTCGCAAGAACATCTTTTCCTCCAAGCAGGGCACTGTCACAGCCGCAACCGCTCAGCCTGGTGCCGTCTACCTGACTGCCGACGGCCGCGGAGCCTCCGAGGGCTCAGTCTTGGTCAACCTCAACTTTGAGCCTACCTCTGCCGATATCCTGCCTCCCAAGGTCAGCACCGTCTCGGCCAAGATCCAAGCTCAGACCTGGTATGGCGCAACGCCCATGTCGTCGCTTCCCAACATGGGGAACAGCCAAGAGGCATATGCCATGACCCAGCAGCTCGCCTACCAAACCTCCGTTTCCCTCTTCTCCACATCGGTGGACAAGGTTGCTTGGCGCCAGCAGCTGGCCTCCACCGCCCGCCGCGATTCCGGATACTCCAGCGATGGCATGCGTGAAGGAAGCCCCTCCGACTCGGACAGCCAGCGTCAGAGCAACAGCCGCCGCTCGAGCAAAGACCGCTCCTCACCCATCTTCCACAAGGCCGCTCTCCAGATTCCTTTCAAGCTGCCCACAGCCCGAAAGACCTTTATCCCGACCTTCCACGCCTGCCTCATCTCCCGCACCTACACGCTGCAGTTGACCATCGTCGTTGGCGATTCCAAGATCAACTTGAACATCCCCCTGCAAGTCGCCCTCGAGCCGCCCATGCAGCTCGATTCGCTTGATATGGGCCTTCCCACTTTCGAAGCTGTGATGGCACAGCAAGAGGAGGCAGAAGCGGACGCTTTTCTCCAGCCGAGATTGTTGCAGCAACCCGCGCCCGAATTCCAGGGTACTTCCGTGCTGCCTAGCTACGGCGACTTGTCTGCAAGGCGAGGCGAGGTCTCCGCTGCTTGAAATTCTTGCAGCTTAAGCCCTGATATCCTTGCATTGACGAATTACGACTTATGGGGGGTTTGGAGCACGATATCCCTTTTCAGCAATTTCCTTTGTTCCCTTTTTTCGATGGTGATGATACCACTAGAGAATCGAGCTGGTGGGCTACTGGAGTCTTGGATACTAAAATTCGGGACACTTTGATTTGGAGTTTTCTATTATTCATTTGAGAAATTTGTCTGTTGGAACTGAAGATACCCAAAGAGCAAGAGGCAAATTGGATAAACACATCAATACTTAGTAATAATATGACAAAATCACTCAGATCTGGGCTCCTGTATAACTTTGACGGATCACCTGCTTCCTCTACAACCTGATGAAGCCTGCCTAGTACGTACTTTGTGGCACTAATATTAGTATACAAAGGAAGAAGCTTGTCTTCTTGCATACAAAAGGATGCGAATCACCCCTAGAAGACCAATTAAATCGATTGAGAGGTTGACAACACCTCAGCGCCGAGGCCCAGGTTTTCCTCACATCACACATATCCGAATAATGCCTATCCTACGCGGCACGTTTGACACAGACCGTACAATCCGTAATCAGAGGCCGAACTCGTCTCCAGACCGGAGTGCCAAGAGAAGGGGACGGAACGGGGCAGAGTGGCACCTCCGGAGACGGGACGGGGTGATGGAGCGGAGGTGAAGGGGCCCGGCACCGGAGGAGCCCGGTACACCTGGGCCGGAAGCAGGTGCCCGGTGGAGACGAAAACGGGAGAAAGGTGCCGCCATGCCGTGCCGGACACCCAGAAAGTTCTAGGCCCATTGAATTGCTTCCATGTTCCCCTGTTGCATACAGTGTTAAGATTGCGGTGGAGTTTTTGCTGCTATCCCGCTTTTTCCCTGCTTCTTTTGCCCCGGACGCCCAGCATGATTTTCAGATTTTCCCAAGAAGCTCGGACTGGAAGGTCACTGGGCAAATGAGGGGGATTTGGGGGTGAGGAAATGTGGGGGGTTGATTATCCGGCATAAGCTGGTATTAGCACAATGTCACAAAGCAAACTGCATCACTGTTCGTGTATGGGAATTCCCCCCGTGACATTGGGAATGGAGAAAGATGACGAAATCTGGGCGGTCTTAACACCCGGCCTGTCACTGTTCAACAGCCCACTCTCCCGATGCTGCTTGTTTGAGAGAGGGAGCGATCGTCTACGAGACAGGTCACAAAAGTGGTTTGTTCGTTTGTTTCTATTGATAGTACCTTGACTAAGGGGAGCGGGAGCCACGTAAACTGCCCACACTAAATAAGATCGATCGTCTGTTTCCACATGGCATCGTTTCTAGTGCGGTGACGCGCGAGTCGAGGGCTTGCAAAGCTGAGGATGAGGCTCAGGCGCAAGTTCTGAGGTGAGGTAAGCTGTGCACAAATCACCAACCATTCCTCCCTCTTCTGAAGTAAAAGTATTTCCCTGACTAGGTGGAGATCCTATTCTGTTAAATACAAGCAATGCACAAATCACGATGGAACTACACGTGACGACGCCGACACCCCTTTCATCTTGGCTGCGACCTGCCCCAAAGAGTGAACCCCTCGTGTCGGTTGGATTTAGCTTCCCCAACAGCAGATGTTGATTGGTGCGGCGGGACAGCGGGCGGCGGCAGATATAGGGGTTGGGGCGCACTTCCCGCCTGCTCTTTGGAGGGTCTTGGGGGTGAACCGTGAGCAAGCTATCTGTATGTACATAGGCATCTACCTGCAGAAATGTCTGTACTACTGCTTGCGTCCATGGGATTGGGCAAGGAGTCTGGGAAAGAATTTGAAGGTACGCATACGGACGAGTATGAGTGAATTGCGATAAGCCTTCCCGCTCATGTCTTGCGCTTCTCATTGAGAGACATGTTGGTCTTGGCAGGCGCGAGATAGGAACTGAAGCGCGTAGGGAAGCGTGCCTACCTTGCCTTACTTTACATTAGAAGTACAAAGCTACAGATATCCAATGTAAGGCAAGGCAAGTACCATCTGTGAAAGAGGAGAGAGGGGACGAGAGGCTTCTTCCCCCCCCAAATGCCGGATGGGGACTCCAGTGAGGGATGGATGGCACTCGACGGCCGCGATGCTACGCTGGAAGACGGCATCTCAGATTGAGGTTGAATGATTAAAAGCAATTTATGAATTATTCCGGGCCTCTCTCTGATCGATGCTTCACCTCTCAGTGGGCTCGTAAAGTGGTCTTGAACCGTGCGCCCATCATCGATCCCCCCATCCCGACCATCCATCCCCATGCTCGCATCCCATGTGCTCATGCCATGCAATCCCAGTGAATCTCCCATTTCCAGTCCCATTCCCATGCTCTGTCCATCTCCTCCCCCTTGTGAACTGGTCTTATTTCCCGCCGATTCCGTCCCGTCCTCCATCCGCCAGCTGCATCCCGTCAACGTCCTCGGTTTCTTCCAATTGCCTCTTCATCCCCTCTCCTCCCCTCCCCCTTCCATCTGGAGTGTGTGTCTTTGTATTCCTCTTGTCCCTCTTCCCCCGTGCTGCGTACATTGTCTCCCATCACTCAACCTGCCTGCTCCTAACAACAACACCTCAACTCGCCCTTCCACCGTCACCCACTCTTCCAAGGTTGGACCCCGTTTCGAAACAAAAACGATAACGGCCGACGGCGGACTCACTTGCGTCATTTCCCAACAAGACGGGAGAGTTCTAGATTTCGAAGCTTGATACTTGACAATTTACCTTTAGACTTCTTTCCTGGGTACTTGGTACCGATTCCACTCGTTTCCACCTCAGCTTACCTCACCTCACCTTCTACCACCCCGAAATTCCTCCTCTTGCGATCCTTTGGGGCCGGCACATCTGCGCAGCCCAGTCCGATCCAGTTTTTTGGATTCCGCCCTCCCACCCATTTGCGGCGGCGGCGTGGCGCGGAGAGAGACACCGTGCAGCCACGGACCCTCGACTGAACCTGAACGCGACCGGACTCGTCTTACCTTGATTGCGTTCCTGACTTGGCTAATTTTATCCTCAATTGTCCTTCAATTCCCTCCAAGCCGGAGAGGTACCCCGATTGAACCACAGCCACCACCGCAGAGGACAAGTCGCCCATCTTATCAGGTCACCTCTTTTACCACTTACACAAACTTCGCCGAGACGGTCTATGCGGATATAATTCGACGACGACGACGACGACGAACTCGCAAATACCGGACCTAATTACAATGCGACAGGTGCTCAAGGCCGGCTTGGGGTGCCTCGTCTCCCTGTTGCTTGCCGCACCAGCCGACGCATTCTACATTCCAGGTTCGCCGCCCTCAGAAAGAAGCCCCCAATTCAACCACCTCTCTCGCTCAAGCAATTGCCCGCTGACTATAGCTCGGTATTCAACTACAGGCTGGTCGATTAAGAGCTACAAGGACGGCGAGCAGGTTCCCTTACTCGTGAACAAGGTCTACTCCGACAACACTCAGCTGCAGTATGCCTACTACGACCTCCCCTTCGTGTGCCCGCCGACGGGCCAGCGCAAGCCCGGCACGGGACTGCTTAGCGGACAGAGCATCCCCTTGAACCTCGGCGAAGTCCTCCGCGGCGACAGGATAAAGACATCCGACATTGACCTGGTTGTCGGACAGGACAAGCCGTGCAACTTGCTGTGCAACCGCGAGATGAGCCGCAAGGACATGCGCCGCGCAAAGGACATGGTGCACGACGGCTACGTTACCGAGTGGATTGTCGATAACCTCCCCGGGGCCACGAGCTTCGTCACTGTCGACAAGAGCCGCAAGTACTACGCCGCCGGCTTCAAGCTCGGCTTCACGGATTACTCGGCCAGCAGCGGCAAGCCGCGCTACTTCCTCAATAACCACCACACCATTGTCATCCGCTGGCGCAGGGCCCCCGGGAAGGCGGGCGAGCGTGGCGGTAAAGTCGTCGTTGGTTTCGAGGTGTACCCCAAGAGCATCGGACCCAATAACAAGCGCGACGAGAATGGGTGCCCTGCAGATTTGCAGAATATTGACCAGAACTTTGAGCTCTACCTCGCCCCGAATAAGTCCTCCGAGATGCCGAAGCAGCAGCAGAACCTCGAGTCCTCCTCGTACCACCCCGCTACCGACGACGACGAAGATCTCACCGACGACGGTGCCAAGCTGACCGTGCCCTATACCTATTCCGTCTACTTCCGCGAGGACAACAACGTCGAGTGGTCGCGCCGCTGGGATCTGTACTTTGTCAACCAGGAGGAAGGCCAAAAGATCCACTGGCTGGCTATTGTCAACTCGCTCATTATCTGCGGCCTGCTCACGGGCATTGTCCTGATGATTCTCGCGAGAACGATCCGCTCTGATATCAAGGGCTACAAGGAGGTGCCCCTCGAGGACGGCAAGCCAAAGCTGAAGCGCAAGAAGACGGCCGGCAACAAATCCCCCCGACTTTCCGAGAAGACCGGCGGACTACTCGATCAGGGAGCCGGAATTGACGCCGAAAATGACGCCGACGTATCGTCCGATGAAGAGGCACTCGAGGACGTCACGGGCTGGAAGCTGCTGCACGCCGACGTCTTCCGGACGCCCCGGCACGGCTACCTGCTGGCCCCGCTCGTCGGATCCGGCATGCAGCTGCTCTTCATGGCGGTCGGTCTCGTCCTGCTAAGCGCCCTCGGCATCCTCAACCCCAGCTTCCGCGGCGGATTCATCAGCGTCGGCGTCGGCCTCTTCGTCTTTGCCGGCCTCTTCTCGGGCTACTTCTCCGCGCGCGTCTACAAGACGTTCGACGGCCAGGACTTCCGCAAGAACGCGCTCGTCACCGCCGTCCTCTTCCCCGGCCTCCTCTTTGGCATCGTCTTTATCCTGAACCTATTCGTCTGGGCACAGGCTTCAAGCACGGCAATCCCCTTTGGCACTCTCGTCGCCATCATCTTCCTCTGGCTCTGTATCCAGGTGCCCCTCGTCTACGCCGGGTCCTGGTTCGGCTTCGTCCGCAGCGCCAAATGGGAGCACCCGACTAAGACGAGCGTCGCGCCGCGCCAGGTGCCCCGGCAGGCGTGGTACATCAAGTCGTGGCAGTCCGTCCTGCTCGCGGGGCTGATTCCCTTTGCGGTCATCTTTATCGAGCTGCTCTTCGTGTTCCAGTCCGTCTGGCAGGACAAGAGCGGCTACTACTACGTGTTTGGGTTCCTGGCCGTGGTGTCGGTGATTTTGATCGTGACGATTGCCGAGGTGACGGTCGTGACGATTTACGTCCGGCTGTGCGCCGAGAACTATAACTGGTGGTGGCAGTCGTTTGCCGTCGGCGGCGGAAGCGCCGTGTGGGTTTTCTTGTACTGCGTGTGGTACTACTTTTTTAAGCTGCACATTACCGGGTTCGTGAGCAGTATGCTCTTCTTCAGCTACAGTTTCATGGCGTGCTGCGTGTATGGTCTTCTAACGGGGACGGTCGGGTTCCTGAGCGCGTACGCGTTCGTTCGGAGGATTTATGGGTAAGCTTTCTTCCTTTCACTCACTCTCCGGATTCTTATAGTCAAAACGAAGCTGACATCATGTGAACAGAGCAATCAAGGCAGACTAAAACCCGCGAAGGGTTGTTCATCGTCATTTTAATGTTTTATTTTGGACAGCGAGGTTCCCTTAATGTTTTGATTCTCGACACGAACGAGAGATAAGAATGGAAAGGAAAGGAAAGACGAAACGGTGGGGGAAGGCGCTCATTAATTGCATTGCCTGGCGGCGTCAAAACAAGTTTTTTGGGGGAAGTGGGAAATAAAGAAGCCCAATGGGGGTGCGTTGAGGCTTTGGCTTTGGCTTTGGGAGGCGTTTTTATACTGGGTGGTTGAAGTGTGCTCGTTTGTTCATCGGTCTCTCTGCCTATCTCTCTCTCATCCTTGCCTGGGAACCATGGGGTGTGAGAAGGGAGAGAGGAATCGTTTGAAGACGTTCTTAACACACATAAAGTACATATCACGAAGACAGATTACCACGGCCAGGAGGCTCAAGTGTGTATTATGTTTGGAAGAACTTGATTAGTGTTTGGGGTAAAGATTGTCGGCGTATAATTAGATTCCCGCTCTACGTATGAGTGCCTCGGGTGCCCGTCTGGTTCCTTGACCTTGAGTTTTTGCCATGAGTGAAAAAGAGAGAGAGGTTCCTAGGTTTTGATGAAAGATGTTGCTCGCTCCGGTAGGAATGGACGACAACTCAAAGACGGAATGGGCAACTGCTGCCTAATCTCGTTTATCCTGCAATAGTGGTTGAGAAGAGAAGTACACGGATAAAACGGCGCAAAAAAAATGGTGGGCGAAAACAAGAACAGATGCGTATGACATGATTGCCATGTCTTGACTCTCCCCCTCTCCTCTCAAGGTCCGATGAGCTCTCTCTTGAAGGTGCCGGTCATGATCCAATGAGACGTGTGGTGAAGGGGGAACCTGGACCTGCCGTTTTGAGCGACGAGATGCCGATGGTGTCAGGCAGGCTGACAGGCTCCGAGGGGTTCCAACGGTGTAAGGGTGGGTGTATTTGGTGCGGCGGCCGCTGCGTTGCTGTATTTTTATGACGGGACTGATGGAGGTCATTCCAAGTTCGCGGCTGCGCTTTGACAATGACATATTGTAGAATACCGAGTTACATGCATTGGTACTTGAGGAAACGAATTGTATAGATGTGTATGAGGTAAGGTACTTGTGATTAGCAGAGCAACGAGAGATTTTCCATATCTACGTGACGTTCATGGTAAAGCTCTTTGAGAGAAACCGCAATGACCTCCGAGACGGGTCGTTCCAATGCAAGGGGGATAATCTGGCCATGGTTCTCCCCGTGTGAAGTCGAGGAGGCTTGGTTCCTCAGAATGCCAAGCTTTTGACAAGGGACGGGAACTAAATGGGCGGGATGCAATGTGGACGCGCCCATATTATTACCCTTGGGACCGCATGGATATGAAACTGGGAATACGTCTTGAACGGAATCCTCTTTTGGAATCCCTTATCAGGAAGGCAATTTAGGGTCATTTGGTCTTCGTATCTAGTAAGGAACTTTGGTACATTGAAGTTTGGGACTTTGGTTTGAATTCGACCTCACAGACGGGAGTGGCGTCAATAGGATGGCTTGCTGGGCTTGCCTGCTTCGGCCGGCAACCCCATTCCGCATCCGCTCCCGACGTTTGGAAAGGTCAACTTGGGGCCCCACTTTCCGGTCCCGAGACCGGCAAAGTTGTCCGAGAGCTCTATTGCTGGGAACTTGATTCTTGTGCATCTTACAAAAGTGCAGCCTTGTGAAAAGGCAATGCACTGGAGAGAGAACCTTTTGAAGGGTATTAAGCTGACCATGACGATCAGTCGGGCTCGGCTTTGAGAATCAGTACATTACCTGATAAATGTGTCAATCCAAGGGCGGGCATGCAAAAACCCATGTCGGGTTGGATTGCAACACTCTGGATGCCGCTTTCGCAACCGGTGACCCTGCCCCCCATCTTATTAGCTGCTAGCATTCTTTGCCAGTCCTGCAGTCCAGTCATCGTTCCCGCATTCTCAGCAATCGGCCCCTCCCCGTCACAAACCACACAACCCCAGGAGGGATGGACGAAACGAACAGTTGAGCAATGAGGATGAACGCATCCCAACTAGGCCCTGGCTGCCTAGCTGGGGTACCCCCCCCCCCCCCCCTAGCGGAAGGCCTCAATTGACCGTTTCCCATTTGCTCTAGAGCTGGTGCACAGCCTAGGAGACTAGGGATTCCCCTGTCTCGCCGTATCTTATCGACCTTTTCTTACGAATACAACGTCTCGCGGATTCTCTTTCGTCTCTCTTACCTTGAATACCTTCTTGACATGTTTTTGATATATTTCTCTGCTCCCTTCGCTCTTTTTCTATAGACTTTTGGTCTTGGCTTGCATATTTGCATATTTACCAGAAGGGGGACTTAACCTCGAACGAATTGCGATCCTTCATTTCAACGACATCTCGTCAAGCTTTCACTCATGACACGCGGTGGTGCTCGCAGTAGTTGTCAAGAATCCCACATCGAGAGAAGCGCCAAACGAGACGAGGCTGTGGTGTCGACAACACCGCTCTCGCCGCGCTGCCCCGAAGATGATGGATCTCATACCTCAGCGAGTCTTTGCGCTCGCGGCTGAGGCGCGATTGCGGTCCCAGACTTTGCTGGCGACTGCTCAGAGGTGAGTTCTATACAGAATGCTTGACCGCTACATGGCCATGGAAAGAGAAACGTTGCGGGCTTAGATATGGGATGCAAAGACTGCTACCAGATAGTCTTATGGGACTTATTTCTCCGGGATTGATTCAAAAACCTGCTGAATCTATGGCATCAAGTGCTTTCTGCACATCTCTTCTGTGAAGGCGCGTGAGAGCGTGTGGTCGACAATACCAGTCTCATCCATTGCACCTACGTATCTGAGTAGACGTTGAAAAGGACAATGACTGACAAACCCCGAGTAGCCATGCAGAACTGCCCTGGATCAACGACGTGACCCAGATCGCCGACTCAGGGTACCCTCAAGCCCTCGTCCTCGTCATCTCTGCGCTCTGGACTGCTTCACGCCTCATCCAGCGCCGCAACAAGCCTTCATCTTCGTCTCCACTCACCACAACCACCACTGTCCGCGCCGCCAGCATTAGATGGCCCTGGGAACTCCTCGCCCAGCTCGTACGCGCCTCCACCCTAGCCTTCCTCGCCCTCGCGGCCGCCCGCGGCCAGACACCCTGGCTTAACGCCCTCGTCGCCGCTTATGCCCTCGTCCTCGGCCTCTCGAGGCTCGTCAACGATCTCGAGTGGCGGCACGTCGCCCTGCACCAGGTCAACTTCGCCCTCGGCTTCGAGCTCCTCATCTTCGCCGCCTCCTCCGCCCTGCCCTGCATCGAAGTCTCGTCCGAGTGCGCCCTCGCGGCGGCGCCGGTGAAGGGCGGCCTCGCGAGCTTAGCGGCCGCCGTAGTCCTCTCCGTCATCACCCCGAGGGAATGGGTCCCCCCATCGCTTGTGAACGACGTGCCCATGCCCGAGGACTACGAGAAGCGCGGGCCCGCGCCCGAGGAGACGTGCAGCTGGGCAAACTACTACCTCACGTTCGAGTGGCTCACGCCCGTCATGTGGAAGGGCGCCCGCACCGGCGAGGTCGTACTCGAGGACCTGCCCCAGCTGCCCTGGTACGACGAGCCGCTGCTGCTCCTCGCGCGGATCAAGAAGGCGAGGGCCAGGGGCGTCACGACGACGTGGACGCTGTTTTACCTGCTGCGTAAGGAGGTCAACCTCATGGCCTTTTACATCTCCTCGGCCTACGCCTCGGAGCTCGTCGCCCCCTACGGCCTGTACCACCTCCTGGGCTACCTCGCGGACCCCCAGGGCGCCTCCGTCAAGCCCTGGCTCTGGCTCGTGCTCATGTTCTGCGGCCCGCTGTCGCGCTCCGTCCTGTTCCAGCAGTACGTCTTCACGTCGACCCGTCTGGTTGTTCGTCTGCGGTCCGCCCTGACGCAGGAGCTGTACCATCGCGCCATGGGGTCCATGGAGCTCGAGGAGGATATCTTCGCGCCCAAGCCCGACGGCGCCGGGGACAAGAACGGCAAGAACAAGGATAAGAAGAAGAATAAGAAGGATGAAGAGGCAGGGCGGTCCACGACATCGGCCGGGCGTCTGGCGAACCTCATGGCGGCTGACGTGCAGGCCATCTTTGGCGCGCGCGACGTCGTCATGGCCGGGACGGGCGTGCCCGTGGGCACCATTCTCTCCGTCATCGGTCTCTACAGGATGCTCGGCTGGCCCGCCCTCGTGGGCACGTTGATCCTCCTCCTCGCCGCGCCCGTGTCCGTCACCATCTCGCGGCTCATGGGCCGGTTGACGCGGAAGGCCCGGCGCGCGCAGGACGCCCGCATCTCGCTCGTCTCCGAGTACCTCGCCTCCATCCGCGCCGTCAAGTACTTCGCGTGGGAGGACGCCATCATCGAGACCATCGAGGACGCGCGCGCCAGCGAGCAGCGCGACCTCTGGCGCGTGTCGCTGTCCTTTGTCATGCTCAACCAGATCAGCGCCCTCGTGCCCTACATCTCCATGATCACAATGTTCTCCCTCTACGTCGGCGTCTGCGGCCAGCCCATGACGGCCGCCACGGCCTTCACGACGACGTACCTCGTCAAGCAGATCCGCCGCAACGTCGGCCAGGTCGCCTTCATGTCGCGCCAGATCACCGGCGCCGCCATCGCCATCAGCCGCCTCGACAGGTACTTTGCCACCACGACGCCGCTCGACGAGTACCCCGAGGGACCCCTCCGCGTCCAGGACGCCACTTTCCGCCGCAACAAGACGGCCTCGTTCCAGCTGAAAGACCTCTCCATCGACTTTGCCCAGGGCGGGCTCAACGTCGTCTCGGGCGTCAGTGGCAGCGGCAAGACGACGCTCCTGCTCGCGATCCTGGGTGAGACGGTCAAGGAGGGCGGTACCATTACGCGGCCCAAGGACGTCGCCTTCGCGTCGCAGACGTCGTGGCTGCAAAATGACACCATCAAGGAGAACATCCTCTTCAACAGCCCCCTCGAACCCGTGCGCTACGACGCCGTCGTCAACGCGTGCTGCCTCCCCGTCGACCTGCGGGAGCTGGACGCCGGCGACCAGACCGTCGTCGGCGAGAACGGTGCGTCCCTCTCGGGCGGCCAGAAGGCCCGCGTCGCGCTGGCTAGGGCGCTGTACTCCAAGGCGCCGCTGCTGCTCCTCGACGACATCTTTTCGGCGCTCGACGCCAAGACGGCGGCCTCGCTTTGGGAGCGGTGTTTCTGCTCCGATCTGTTGAAGGGGCGTACCGTAGTCCTGGTGGCGCAGCAGCCGTGGGTTGCGGCCCAGGCTGATGTCGCCGTGACTCTCGAGGACGGTGCGGTCAAGCACGTTGAGCAGAATATTGGTGTCGTCAGGCACCCGGTCGCTGTCGCCAAGGATATTGAGGGTGAGAGCAGCACTGAGGTTTCCGACAATTCGGACACCGAAGTCGAGACGCAGACGGATCCGCTCAACGACACCAGGAAGGTCGCCGTCGATAAGGGGACGAAGGATGTGGTCGCTCAGGAGATGAAGGCCAGCGGGAAGAGCGCTCGTTTAATGTGTACGTGTGACCCCCTAACAACCCTCAAAGCTTCAAAGCTAACGATCAGCAACAAAGTCTTCAAGTACATGACCTACTTCGGCGGCCCAAGCTACGCCGTATTCTGCATGTTCCTGATGCTCCTCTCCCAGCTCTCCGTCATGGGCGGCACCCTCTGGCTCTCGGTCTGGGTAGACGCCTACGACAGGCAGACGGCCGTCGACATCGCCTTCTACCTGGGCGTCTACGCCGCCGTCACCGTCACCGAGTCGGTCCTCTATGCCGCCGTCTTCCTCGTCTTCGAGAACGGCGCCTGGCACGCCGCCCGCAAGCTGCACAACGACTTCATCCGCGCCGTCATGCGCGTCTCCCTGAGCTGGTACAAGAAGACGCCCGTCGGCCGCATCATCAACCGCTTCTCGAGCGACATGTCCTCGCTCGACCTCAGCGTCAGCCCGCAGCTAAGAGCCTTCCTCGAGAGCTCGTTGGCGCTCGTCATCCGCATCTTCGCCATCAGCTCCATCATGCCGATTTTTATCGTGCCCGCCGCCGTCGCGTCCACGTGCGGCCTCGTCGTCGGCGAGATCTACACCCGCACGGCCGTCACTATCAAGCGCCTCGTCGCGAGCTCGCAGTCGCCCATCTTTTCGCAGTTTGCGGATACACTCGCGGGTCTGCCTATTATTCGCGCGCGGGCGGGGATGCCGGATACCTTCGGTGATAACCTCGCGGATAAGCTCCGCGTCTGGTCTCGGGCGGCGGAGGCGCACTTCAACTGCAACCGTTGGGTCGCGATGCGCGTCGATGTCATCACGGCCCTGGTCGGCTTGAGCGCGGGTATCATTGCCGTGTCCAAGGCCGGCCTTGTGGGTGCCGGTCTGGTGGGTTTCTCGCTGCATAATGCGACCGGTTTGAGTCAGACTATCCTGGGTCTCGTCCGTAGTATGAACGACCTCGAGGTTGAGCTACAAAGTGTAAGTTGCGCGCGTCCCCTTTCCCCCTATTTTTTTTTTTCAATTTGCGAGTAAGGAGTCCTGGTGGCTAACATCCAAGAACAGTTCGTACGTATCAAGGAATACGCCGGCCTCGACACCGAAGAAAAGGACGACGAATCCTACCCGGAAGAAGGCCAAGTCGAATACACCGACATCCCAACCCACGTCATCCCCAAAACCTGGCCCGCGACGGGCGAAATCGAGTTCCGCAACGTCACCATCCGCTACGACCAAGACGGGCCCAACATCCTCACAGACGTCAACCTCAAATTCCGCGCCGGCGAGCGCGTCGCCATCGTCGGCCGCACCGGCAGCGGCAAATCCACCTTGGTCCTCTCCCTCCTGCGCTTCACGCACATCGTGTCGGGTCAGATCCTCTACGACGGCATCGACATCACCAAGATCCCGCGCCGCCGCCTCCGCGAGGCGCTCACCATCATCCCGCAGGAGGCCGTGCTCTTCAACGGCACGCTGCGGACGAACCTCGACCCGACGGGCAAGATTGCCGAGCCCGTGCTCGAGAGGGCGCTCGAGTCGTGTCAGGGGATCGCCTCGTTCCAGTACCAGCCTTCTTCGGACGTGGATACCGACGCGAACGACGACGCGGCGGCAGTGGTTGCGCGGGACGATGACTCTTCCAAGTTGGCGCTGTCGACGGTGGTGAATGCCAAGGGCGAGAACTTCTCCCACGGGCAGCGTCAGGTTCTGTCGCTGTGTCGCGCGCTGGTGCGGGGGAGCAGGTTGATGTTGCTGGATGAGGCGACGGCGAGTATGGATTATGAGACGGATAGGGGCATTCAGGCCGTGCTGCGGAGGGAGGTCAATGGTGATGGTGACGGCGATGATCGTACGCTTGTCACGATTGCCCACCGCCTGCGGACGATTGCGGATTATGATACGGTTGTTGTCATGGGGGCTGGACGGGTCGTTGAGGCGGGACGACCGGTGGAGCTGTATAAAGCGAGAGGCGTGTTTTATGATATGGTTCACCATAGTGGTGAGAGGAAGGATTTGGAGGAGCTTTTTGAGGGTGGAAAATAAGTGAAAAGGGGCCGAGGTTGTTCCTGCTTCTCAGTATGTGTAAGGCGGTTGGAGAAGCCAGTCAGGGAGTTGGGTATGATGCATTAGAACAGCATGTTATAGATTGTGCCTGGGCATCGTGTACTTTTGGCATCTGGATGGAAATCCTGTACACATACGCATAGAAAGAAGCCGTTACTTGTGTTTCGCATGTGCTAGTAGAAGAGCGAGAGCAACATAGAACGAATACGTTGGATGATTCATTTGATTGGCTCCGTGGATCTCCGACATGAATGGTACTATTAACCTATGCCCAGGGTCTGACCCCGAGAAATCAGACTGTACTCGAGCTCGTGATTCATGGATATTTCATAGCACCGCCTGTCTCAGTTCTCCATGGGCAGCGTCAGCGCCCACTTCATTAGCTGGAGCACGACCAGTCTGATCATCTTCTCTGTTTGTTCTGTAGACCGCAGATGGGAGGTAGGCCCTAATTACCTATTGAATTTTCCGTTCCTGTTCTCTTCTATACCGAACGTACCGTATAACGAATAACCAGGACGAAATCAAAACTGACAAAGAAGGAAAAACTACTTTGAGCTATAACGCTAGACGATATTCGAAGACGCGAGGCTTAGATCCTCTCTGCACTCTGTCAAACCTATCTTATCCTTTATCGTAGGCAGAGCGGTGCGAAAGATCGCAACTAAACATAACTAAACCGGCGGCTCTTATAAATGGCATTATCGCAATCCTTCTGTATGTGCACAACTCACTGGAAGGGTGGTACGACCCAAATGGAAATACCTGGTTCTACACATCTTCAAGTAAGAGACCAATTTTCCGAGCTGGGACCGTAGTATAGCACTTAAGGTATAAGAGCCCATTCCTATCTATGACATTCTAGCCGATATCCTGAACATTCTTGAGGAGGGGAACTGAGGCTTTCTAGATTGGCAGATCTGGGAGAGTAAACTCGTAAATCGTCATAGTTTCCTTCAAGATGGGGCCCCATGTTGTCAATTTCCGATACGTTGAACAATAAGACCGTTTCCCAACTCGAAAGAATAACTAATAACTTAGAGTACGCCCAATACACAAATTTAGAAGCTTGATACGTCCTCAGCCTTTGTCTCGTACTGAGAGAGCGCAGCAAGATTATCGTACTTAAGATATGTGTGAAGTAAGCGTTATTCTAAATATCCTTGTTCCTGCGCCGTCGCAGTCAACATATGTGTTAAGCCGGAGTCATTTTAGACACCCTTGTTCCCGTCCCTTCATTTTGAAAGCCGAACGTAGTATGTAACGAATACGTGAAGAGGCACGTCAGGAGGGACGGACCGCTGGATCTCTCTTTGATGCGAAGGCTGTGGAGTTCAGTCCTATGTACCGTACCTTAGGCTAGCCACCAAAGCCGGACTATATGATGCTCCAGACAAAAGACCGTTCGGGCTACATCCCCACCCATTCCTGAAGAGGCACGATTCAACGTGGTATGGGCTCCCTTTTGTATAGGTAGCTACCGATGGCTATAGACAAACTTTACATGTCGCCAAAGTCCTCAAATTTCGTCAGTGATAATCAATATCAAACCTGTTCATTCTGCCTGACATTTCCCTACATCATTAACCCCGCCACCTCCACCACTCTCACATCTTGTAAGCCACACCAGACTCATGCTCCATCATATCAAAAGTAGGCTTCCCCGAAAACCACCCCGCCACCTCGGACCCGATAGACTTGTACGTGAACTCGGCATCCTCCTCATCAATCTTGACCGTCTCGTGGCCCCTGCCCCCCGCAGCGGCATCAGCCAGGAGCTGCTGGTGACAGCACCGCTCGAGGCTGAGGAACCAGTAGACGCAGCTCTCGACGCTCTTGCCGCAGGTGATGAGGCCGTGGTTCTGCAGGATGGCGGCCTTCTTGTCGCCCAGGGCGGCGGCGATGCGCAGGCCTTCCTCTTTGCCGAGGACGATGCCGCCGAAGGAGTTGTAGAGGACGACGTCGTTGTAGAAGGCGCAGGTGTCCTGGGTGGTGATGTCGAGGTTGCGGCCGAGGGCGGAGAAGGCTTGGCCGTAGAGGGAGTGGGAGTGGGCGACGCAGTTTATCTCGGGGCGGGCTTCGTGAACTGCGTGGTGGATCATGTATGCTGCGAATTACATTGTCAGCTAGGTTCGTCGAGAGGTTGACCAAGGAAGTTGGTCTGTTCTGAGGGGACGGACCGGCGGTGTTCAAGAGCCTCACGGGGCCACCCTCGACTACTTCACCGTTCTCATCTACGCGGATGAGGTCTGATGCTTTGAGCAGTGGCCAGGGGACGCCGAAAGGGTTCAGCCAGAATGTTTGCGGCTCAACAGGGTCCTTGTGATATCATTAGTTTTAGACCCATGAAGCTGGTTTGAAACCATATCGACTGTTTCTCGGACGGAAGAAGACTTACTCTGACTGTGATGTGGCCAGCGACGCCAGCGTCGAAGCCGTTCTTTGCAAAGATGCGGAAGCCCAAGGCCAGCCGCTCCTTGAGGTGCTGGCGCTGCTGGTACGGGTCGTCAAACTTTTGCGGACGGGGGAAGCCCTTGGTCTCCAGGGTCTTTGACTTGTCTTGCCCGGGCTTCTTTTCGGGCGCAATGGTAGAGCTGGGCAGAACGCCATTGCCGTTTGTGTGTTTGACGGCGGAGGCGTCCGCGTGGGGGATCTGGCTGACTGAGGTTGATGGTGCCATGGTTTTCTTCTCTCAATGAGGGATCGCTTTACAGAGCATATGTATGTGTATGTTCTTTCAATGGGAATAGAGAATAATACCGGGAATTGCGGATGTGGGTTTGAGCTTTATATTAGTGAGATGAAGTGTGAGAGATGAGTATTTCCTCGCCACGCGAATGTCCATCCGAAAGGGTCGCATATAAGCTTTAATGCGGGATAGCTCAAGCTTCGGCTGCCGATATCCCAACCCTCCACTGGCATTTTTGGGGGAGTAGCTTCCATGTCACTAACAGAATGGAACAACAATCTGCGGTAATCAAGACGGAAATCAAGCCCGGAATTGCTAAGAGTTGGCCACGCCCTCCCCCGACTACCGTTGTTCGGGTCCCGAGGCAAACCCCGCATTATACGTCCAATGTGCCGCTCTGGCGTTTTGGAGCCCCCCCCATCCCTGGCGATGCGTGCCTCGGTGCCCACCACCATTGAGCCAAGGTATCCAATAGTAGTCGAGATATTAATACAACGGAGAGGATTACTTGGTTGTTTAGTGAGGGAGAGCGGAATGAGCTCCGCGGCAGTGATCAGAGGCTCTCGAAAGCGACGAAAGGCACACGGTTTAGGATTTGCAGCTACGCCCTGCGGATGTCACGAATCTACGAGGTGCAGACCTCCAGGAAGCTTGGGCTCTCAGAAGTAGAGTAATCGGCGCCGTGCCTGCGGCCTCATTCCGCGGAGGTGGGCTACTTGAGTTTACATGGACCGCAGCCGATATCGTCAATATCTAAATCGCATCTACCGCAGTAACAGACGCCGAAGATGGGAGGATGATGAGATGAAGGTTGAGTACCTTCGGTGGTTACCTGTATCTTGAAAGACTTGTACGCACACTGAGAGGTGATGAATGCGGGACGCTTCTCAGCGGGCTCCAGCCGGCTTCAGCGGATACAGGCCGGGCGCGGGGCCGGGGCGGACCCTGAGGGTGCAGGGGTGCGATGCGGGGTGATTAGATGCTCCCCATAGCTACCCTCTGATAGGCCAATCATCTCCGATCGAGGGGCTGGCCGCATGTTGGCGCATTCCGCCCGAACCTCCAACTTTTTTTTTTTTTTTTTCTCCTGTTGCTCTTTTTCTGGTGACGGCAAAATTTCACACCGCGCGACACTACCCACCAACGCTGACAGGATTGGACTGCGACAACTCTTACCTCTGAATTTCCCTTCCTTTCGAACAACACACGCCGTGCGCAACGCATACCCCTCCACGCACGTTGACTCAATTTTCTCTTCCCACTCCCGCGACACATCATGGGTCGCAAGTTCAGAGTGAGTTTTTGCGGTCGCTTTTCAATTGACTCCTGCTGCCTGTTCTCGCGCGCTGACAACAGTTCCATCAGGGAGGCAAGAAGGGCAAGTCCCGCGGCGGCAGCAACGCCGAGGGCGGCGGTGACCGCGGTCGCCAGCCTCGCAGCGAGTCGTGGCAGAACTACCCTGCCGTCAAGAAGGAGAACGAGAGGCTCCAGCGCTACTACAATACCATCTTTGGTCTCTCCGAGGAGGAGCAGGGCCCCTTCTGGGATGCCCTGCGCAGAGATCTGCCCAACAGCTTCCGCTTCTGCGGCTCCAAAGGGTAAGGCATCAGTCACTTGACAGAGGACAGACACGTTTTCTGGTCTCGCGCGACCTCATACTGACCTGAATCCTAGCCACGCCTTGGCCGTGAAGAAGCTTCTGCAAACCCGATACATGCCCGAGATCCAGAACATCCAGCACGCCGATGGACGCACCGTCGAGCCCCCCAAGCCCTTGACTTGGTACCCCAACGAGCTCGCCTGGTGGATGACTACCCCGAAGAACATTATTCGCAAATACCCCCCCTTTGCCGCCTTCCAGAAGTTCCTCGTCTCCGAGACAACTGTCGGCAACATCAGCAGACAAGAGGTCGTCAGCATGATTCCTCCCCTCTTGATGGACGTCCGCCCCGGCATGACCGTGTTGGATATGTGCGCCGCGCCCGGCAGCAAGGCCGGTCAGCTTCTCGAGATGATTCATCAGGGCGAGGAGGCGAGAGTCAGAAAGGTTCTGCGCGCCTTTGCCAAGGAAGACGGGCTCGACCTCGGCGACGAGACGGAGGAGGAGCGCCAGGCTGACCTCTCGGCCGACCCCTCGGACTCTGGCCGCACAACCGGCCTCCTCATCGCCAACGACTCCGACTACAAGCGCGGCCACATGCTTGTCCACCAGCTCAAGCGTCTCGGATCCCCCAACCTGCTCGTTACCAACCACGACGCAACCCAGTACCCCGCGATCAGGCTCCCCGCGAACCCCGAGACCCCGACTAAGCCTCGATACCTCAAGTTCGACCGAATCCTCGCCGATGTGCCGTGCTCGGGCGACGGCACCTTGAGAAAGAACATGAACCTGTGGAAGGACTGGCAGCCCGGCAGTGCGCTGGGCCTTCACGTCACCCAGGTTAGAATCCTGCTGCGCGCGCTCGCCATGCTCAAGGTCGGAGGCCGTGTCGTCTACTCCACCTGCAGTATGAACCCCGTCGAGAACGAGTCCGTCGTCGCGGCCGCCATCGATCGCGCCGGTGGCCCGGACAAGGTCGAGATCGTCGACTGCAGCAACGAGCTGCAAGGTCTCGTTCGCGCCCCCGGTATGAAGAAGTGGCAGATCATGGATAAGTCTGGCAGGCTGTGGAGCTCCCAGGCCGAGGTCGATGAGTGGACGAAGAACAGTACCGAGGGTGTTGCTCCCGGAAGACTCGTCGAGACCATGTTCCCGCCGTTGGAGGGCAGCGTCTGCGCCGACCTGCCTCTCGAGCGCTGCATGCGTGTCTACGCTCACCAGCAGGACACTGGAGGCTTCTTCATCACCGTTCTGCAGAAGAAGGCCGAGGTCAAGATCCGCCCTGAGGACCAGAAGCAAGGCGACGAGTCCACCAAGTCAAACGGAGCGACTGCGGCTGCCACACCCGCCGAGGCCACGCCTGCGACTGAGACCGAGAACACCGAGACGAACATGGAGGTCGATGCAGCTGAGACGACCGAAGAGGCAGTCGAGGCAGTCCCCGAGACGGTTCCGGAGACGGCCCCTGAGACCACCACTGAGGCCACCGAAGAAGTAAAAAGTGAGGAAAAGGCCGAGGAGGCGGAGCAGGATGCTACGAACGGTGTTAAGCGACCGAGAGAAGACGAGACGGCTGACGGCGAGACTCAAGAGACCAAGAAGGCCAAGCTCGAGGCGACGACACAAGAGAAGCCCAAGAACTCGAACCGCAACATCCACGGCCGTGTCGAGGAGCCGTTCAAGTACCTGGACCCCAAGCACGAGGTCATCAAGAACATTCGCGACTTTTACCACATCTCGCCGCGCTTCCCCGACGACCGCTACATGGTCCGCAACGCCACGGGCGAGCCCGCCAAGGCCGTCTACTACACCTCGGCGCTGGCGCGCGACATCCTCACGGAGAACGAGGGCCGCGGCATCAAGGTCATCCACGGCGGCGTCAAGATGTTTATGAAGCAGGACGCCCCCTCAGCCGAGATCTGCCGCTGGCGCATCCAGTCCGAGGGCATGCCCATCCTCCAGGGCTACGTCGGCGAGCAGCGCGTCGTCCGCCTGACCAAGAAGGAGACGCTGCGCCGTCTGCTGATCGAGATGTTCCCCCGCATCGCCGACGGCGAGTGGGAGCAGATGGGCGAGATTGGCGAGCGCGTGCGCGACATCGGGATGGGCTGCTGCGTGCTCCGCGTCGAGCCCGACGGCTCTGACCCGGCGTTCAGCGAGCGCATGGCGCTCCCCTTGTGGAAGAGCATCCACTCGCTCAACCTCATGCTGCCCAAAGAGGACCGGACGGCCATGCTGCTCCGCATCTTTGACGACACCACCCCGCTCATCAACAACAGCCTGCAGAAGCAGAGGGCCATTGACGAGGCTGCCAGGAAGAAGGCGGCGGAGGACGCCTATGTCGCGGAGAAGGAACTCATTGACATTGAGGACGCCCCCACGCCCGAGGAGATGGATCTCGAGCCTGCGTCTGTGCCTGCTGCTGCTGCTGCTGCGGAGACTGAGGATGCTGCCGCCGCCGCTGTAGCCGCTGCTCCGACCACCGAGGAGGCTTAGAAGGCGAACTCGGATTCGAGCGAGTTGGACCTGGACGCCCTGCTGGGAAGAAAGGGCAAGCGTGCGGCGAAGCGCGCGAGGGCCAAGCGCCGGGGCATGGCGGATTACGCGCAGAAGAGCGTGGATTTGGTCATGCGCGCTGCAGCGGAGGGAGGATGGCTTGTCGACGATGACGATTGAGCCCTTCCCGTGGATATTCTGCCCAAGGTCACTGAAGTATCGCGATACCTGAACTTAGGGGTAGAGACACTCAGGGGGGGCATTGAAGACGAAAAGATGGAGGAAAAAATGTATGAGTACATGAAAAAATTCGTCGAGATGGGCGTTTTGCATTTGCACAGTCTAGAAGAATAAACAGAGAGATCGAATCATGGACCCCAGGGTTACCTCCTTTTTCCTTTCTTTCTCTCTCTCTCTCTCTCTCTACGTATTCTGGAGGTCAATGATGACCAGGGGCTCTGCGTGCAACCTGACTTTCGAGATTTTCCAGTTCCATATACCACATTGCAATGCCTACAGCTGGTCAAAGTCAACCTCACGCGAACAGTCAGCCACACGAAAGTCACCTCGCACTCGGAGCAAAACCAATAGCAAGAAGCCCTGTTCCCTTTAATCACAACAGGGGGAAAAAAATTATCTCCAAAAAGATGATGTACGCTTCAATCGCGGACGGGAATTGAGCCCGACGTGGCTGGTGATGAATTAGTGACGATGTTCCAATGCTGAGCCATTTTCTGATGACGAGCGAGCTATAACTTACGGGTCGAACCCACAACCTTGAGATTAAGAGTCTCACGCTCTACCGATTGAGCTAGCCGGGCAGGCTTTATGTTGCTGGTTGGTGACGAGGTGGGAGGATGGGAGGGTCTATGATGCGGGTCGAAGGGGGGGGGGGGGGGGAACGAGGAGGTGGATATCGTGGTTGTAGGTTTGGGGATTGGATCTCTCATTTTGGGGCGGAGGGGGGAGGAGAGTAATTAGAACACGATGGGTTGGAGACGAAGTATGTTAGGGGGGGTGATCTTGATGTAATAGAAGAAGCACGTGTATATCCAAGGTGGTTGAACAGGAAGTCCTGGAGTGCTTCACATGGAGAATGATAGTCACTACAATAAGTCGATATCGTCTGAAGAGACTTGTGCACGCATGCGTGATTAGCATTGTGATTGAAAGTGAATCCATTCAAGTTCCCTCAAGAGCTATGCTCGAGTTTTTAATGACCCCTAAGTTGATGCAATTATCCTAACAATACTCGTTTCGCCGCTTTACAAAGGAAAACTTTTCGGTATGCCTGCTCTAGCAACACTCCTCATCAACGTGGACCTTGCCATGTGTGCTGGAGCTCTTCATCTCCTCAGCGTTGAGCTTCTTCAGGATCTCGGGCTCGAAGCCGGCAGCGGCATACGTAGCCTTGTCCTGGTCCAAGTTCTTGCCATTTGACAAGCCATACTCGGGTGTCGAAGAACCGTTGGACGAGATAGTATCGTCGCGGGTGACGGTCTGCTCGACGCCGTTCATGTACTTGCGGGACTCATCCTCCACGGAAGAGCCGTTGATCGTGTAACCAGTGTCGCTGGCGTCGACATAAGCCTCGAGTCCGGCACCCTGGCGGGGGTACTCCTTCATGAGGTCCTTGTGCACCTTGAGGGCAGCACACATGTCCTCGTGGGAGATGTCGTTGAGGAACTCGCAGTTACCCAGAGGTGAGGGAACGGCGGCACGGAGCTTGCCGTCACGGGTCTTGAGGATGGCAGAGGTAGCCTTCTCGAGCATGTCCTCGTCAAAGAGGGGGTGGTCCATGGAGAGACCGGCGCGGGAGAAGAGGTTCAGCAGGCGGCGATGCTCATCCGAGGAGAGCTTTCCGAGGACGTGCGCCAGAGTTGCGGAGTAGGCCATGTCAATGGAGATGGCGTGGCCGTGGCGCAGAGGCACATCAGGGGAGAGCTCGTGGAGGGGTGACCAACTGCGCGGGGTAAGCTTCTAGAACGCTTATGGCGTATGCAGGGTGGAACGTTAACTTACGTGTGGCCGTATGCGATGACACGATCAAGCATGATCTCGTGCAGATTGGGAGTCTCAAGCTTCAACATCTCGTGGATACCATTGCGGTTGATCCTATCAGCCGCATCCCTGACCTCCTTGCTAGCTCCATCAGTGCGACCGAAACCAGTCTTGATCAGCTCCTCACAGAAACGATCAAGCAGGTCGAAAGTCTCCAGATGGGCGCAAGTAGAGATCTTGATCAGCTCGGCGAAGCCATTGCGGATCTGGGCGGTGGGAAGAGTTCGCAAGAAAGTGAAGTCGAGGAATGTGTGGGTTGGTGCGTGGTACGCGCCCAGACGGTTCTTGTAGTTGCCGTAGTTGACAGCGACCTTGATGGATACAGAAGCATCGATCAGGCCAATGACTGTTGTGGGAATGCGGATGAATGGCGTGTTACGGCGGTAGGCGGCGCATGCGAAGCTGGATTGTGTTAGAAGTCAAGCAAAGTCAAGGGGAGTCCTATAGGGAAACATACCCTGCAACGTCTGTGACCAGACCACCTCCAACAACAAGAACAGGCTCCTTGAATTGGTGTCAGACAGCTTCAATAGCTCGATGAAGATGAGAAACTTACCTTGCGGTAGACACCAAACTCGGTCATGGAGTCGACGATGCTCAGCAACGTCTCCATGGACTTGGCCTTCTCACCAATCATGGTCTTATGAATCTTGAGCTCAATGTTGTAGTGGTCAAAGTATTCCTTCATCTCCTTGCCGTAGATGTTGAAGATGTTGAGGTCCATGACAGCCAAGCATCGCTTCCAGCGCGAGTAACAGTCGGCCAGCTGACTGTTCTGCTTGTTGAAAACGCCATCGAGGAACTCGAAGTCGTACTCGATCTTCTCATAACCGCAGACGGAGAAGCCCTTCTTGGTGGGCTCAACCGTCGCCTTCATGTCTGATGCCATCTTGTGAAAGGGGGTAATAGAGATTGATTCGGTCTGGGTATTGCGCAATGGGAGAGAGGAGGGTGCGCTTGTCAAGATGAAAGACGTTGAGAGTGGTCGAGTGAGATGAGAGTGAGGATGAAAGGAATTTGCCAGAGAGGTGCTTCCAACATCAGGCTTTTGAATGAATCAAGCTCCCCAAAGCTAGAACTACAATATAAGGCCGCAGCCGTACGAGACACTTCTGGTTCCAGTAGTCATTACTATTTCGGCGAATGTCTAATCCCGGAGAATTGTCGACGAATTGTCGACATCATCACTTGCGCCTCTAACGTTCACCTAGGCCCACTCCAGCTTGACCGACTCCTCAAAAGAGGATCAAGTTACACAATCCCGAGGCAGACGAAAGCAAGTCATCGGGAGACGACCAGCAAGGGTCGGAGTCGAAAGGCAAGACCCCGGCTTGTCCCGGGCGTCTAAGCTTGGAGCTACGCTGCTTTACCTTTGGGTAGAAGCAGCTGGCGCAACGCGGTAGTTGACAAGAGAGGAGAAACGGTGACAAGTACATTCGACTCGATGCTGCCGTCAAACTCTGGTGGTACAAGCGAGTTGCTAGTACGGACAAGCTTTGACGGGATCGTCCTCGTTTGGTGCGCGGTTTTTTTCTCATATCAGATCTCTTCGTTCCTCTCGTATTACGGTTGCTGCGTGACGGCAATGTGCAGAAGGAGTGTCGTGATGCTCATGACATTTGCCAATGGGGCTTACAGCTTCTGGCCCCGGAGACGTCTAGAAGCGAGGACTGGCGTCCGTTCTGGCGTTAGTTCCGCATGCCACAGGCTCTCTGCTTGGTTATTGTGTCACAAACCAATGCGGTCCGCGGGGCGGGAAGATGGCGTGCTATACTCGGAGTGTCTTCCGATGTTCCCTATTTGCCGCCTGTTAAGCAAAACGGCAAACAGAACGAAAGCTAGAGAAATCCCATGTTTCAGTCTGAAAAGTCGATTCCGTCATCGACATTCGATAATTTTGCGGTAGGAACGCGGAGCCAAGCGTAGCTGGAGCAGGCTAGCTGGGTTTGCCCTCAGAGACAAGCCCAGGCCCCAAAGTGCTGCTTGCCTTTTACTGCCATGAGATGATCGACACGAGTCGTGAGATCTAGATCTCGCACGTGGGGAAGAGGGGGGAAGGACAGACCAGGGGGAGACAACCCTCCGGCGAGCCGCATCGGGACGTCGACAGCTTCTCGTTGGCTGGGGGAAGATGAGCCTGCGTTGCGGACATGGATGCAGTTTGCATTTCTGGTTCATCGGGTTTGTTCAAATGCTGTCAAGCGTGGGAGCCTTGGATCGGATGAAAGCATCGAGTCGCATGCTAGAGTTGGATCAGCGGCGTCCCTTCGCCTCGCCCCCCTCCCCCTGGCTTCGTGCTACCGTTGGCTTGACGCACCTTGATTGAGAAAAAGACCAAAGGCAGTTAAGACGTTTGGGAAAACCCCGCAGTCGGCCGAGAAAAGCTGGCATGAGCTGAGAAAAGACTGCAGTTGGTGTGTGCAGTTGAGAAAGCTCGAAAGCAAAACTCAATTACATCGTCGACGCGGTTGATGAGGTGGTATGCGCGTCATGACTTACCGTGCCCAGCCAACTGCCCCTCTCCGCGTGCCACTACCCGCACTCGTCGCGAAAGCACATGATTTGGTACTCCCGTACTCCCGTACTCCTGTACTGACCAGGTACCTTTGTATCTGTCTAGTGCAGCATACGTACCGCGGTCGACTTCTTCCACTTCCAGCAAAAGGTACATACCGCATTCACCTTCAATACATTGCGGAAGCTGCGAATCACGATCTCGCGGGATGGCAAGGTCCGGCCAGTTACCCCGCCATGACCAAATTCATGTCTCTCTCTTCCTTCTTAGGCCGCAACTACATAGGTACCCTGTGGCGCCTTGCCTACAAACAGCTTCCAAATAGCCCAAGGCGTGTCATGGATGATGGCTGAGCTTCCTTCCTGCTGCTGCTGCTGCTGCTGCTGTGCTTTGCCCGGCAATTATTGCCTGGTCAATTCAATTTGGAACGATCGGGAAAGGGAGGGGTAGCTCCACAGGTGTGAGGGGGGAAACGAGAAAGTTGGGGTAGGAGGGTGTGGAAAAGGTGGTCAAGGTCGCCGAGAGCTGCGGTTCCCGTCAAATGTGCCTGCTTTGCTCGGAAATATTGCTCGCGCGCGACGGAGGCGGCGTTCCAATGTTGGTGGGAAGGTCTGTTCTGTTTCATCCATCGTGATGATAACTAGACCGGTGGCCCTTGGGCTGAGCTGCCTGGGAATGCGTACTGTTCTGTTTTCTCTTCCTTCTCGCCTTCTTCTTCGGATTACCTTGTCTACATAGATCTTTCTTTCCAATTGAAGTATACCCAGTGCTCAATACCTGAAAGTGTTGAAGAATTTTCGTCATAGTCAGCAAGCACAAAACTCCAAGATGCCTCACTTTGACGAAAGCAAGGCATACGCCGTCCAGGAGGAAGTGTTCTTCGACGACGGTCGCGAGATCGAACTCCTGCACTTTGTCTACAGCCAACCCAACCTCGATGAGATCCGCGGCTCGCCGGAGGGCGTGTTGAAGGCGATTGACGACTTTGGCCGGACCAAGAAGTACCTCATGAACGTGGGCGAGGACAAGGGCAAGATTGTAACAGACTTGATCGCCGAGGTCAAGCCCAAGGTGATGGTAAGAGAAGAGCTTCGTTCTTAAATGCGGTCTTTCGTCGCAAGTTCAGCAGACTTTGAGAATCGCACCTGTAACCATCCGAACGCCCTTGCTGGCTATGCGCGGCCTGAACATTCTGCCCTGTTTTCCCCCTTCGAGACATAGAGACGAGAGAGAGAGAGAGAGAGATTGGATGAAACCTAACACCCGCCAACAGGTCGAATTAGGAGGCTACGTAGGCTACTCCTGCATCCTCTTCGGCGCCGCCGTCCGCAAGGCCTCCCCGGGAGGCGGAGCGCAATACTTCTCCCTCGAGCGCAACCCCGAATTCGCCGCCGTCATCGGCTCCCTCGTCGACCTCGCCGGCCTCACCGACACGGTCAAAGTCGTCGTCGGCCCCAGCGACGCCTCCATCGCGCGCCTGCACGCCGACGGCACCTTTTCCAAAATCGACCTCGTGTTCCTGGACCACTACAAGCCCGCCTACACCACGGACCTCAAGCTCGCCGAGCAGCTGGGCCTCGTCGGCCCCGGCTCCGTCCTCGCCGCCGACAACGTCATCAAGCCGGGCAACCCGCCGTACTTGGAGTACGTCCGCAGCTCGGTGGCCGAGAAGCGCGCCGCCGCCAGAGACGTTGGCGCCGCGAGGAAGGCAGCCGGGTGGCACGACGAGCGCACGGCGAAGCAGTACGAGAAGCGCGAGGGCGAGGAGAGGCTGGACTTGTCGCGCATCGGGAACCCGAATCTCCGGTACGAGAGTAAGCTCATCAACAGCTTCGAGCCGACTGGTGTGCCTGTAAGTTCTCGGTCTCTTGAATTGACTGCTCTGGCCCATGAGGGTGCTGACAAGTTCTCGCTAGGATGGTGTTGAGATTACAAGATGTGTTGGCGAGGAGAAGGAATGAGTTTATGAATTACGAAGTTAGAATACCATGCTTCTATCCTATTGTTCCAGTCGCATCAAATGAAGCGATTCAAACGTTCACATCATCCACAGCGCGCAGTGAAGTCAAGGTATTGGCGTGTAGCGCAACAACTTCAGAAATATATTGGATGATTGGTATGTGCAGAACAGCCGCCATTCTAAAGCTCCTCCTTACTCCTTTGGTTTGGTCCTAAGAGACATGCTTCTCTAACCCGCGTATTTCATCGAAAACTAAGAAAATTCTCCCAAAAAATGCTTGTTTGTCCCAGTGTTCCAACAACGCCAAACTCAAACAGCAACCCACACAACAGAGAATAGGCAGTCTAAATTCCCAGCCAGATCTTGGATCTCTCGTACGTGTAAAAGGCGACCGCTGCCATGGGCACAACCTTGACGTAGCCAATAGTCAAGCCCACGAAGAACCCCTGCATACCCCTCTCCCGGAAAATCATGGCGGCCGTCTCGCCGATGCGCAGTCGGTGGCCGTCGCCTACGGCGCCGCCGACCTGCATTCTCCGACGAATGACCTCCAACGGGTACGATGCAGTCTGGGAGATGAGGCCGGCAACACCACCGGCGAGTAGTTCGGCCCACGATCGCAGCGGCGTGGGCTTGCCCGCAGGCAAGTTCTCCGGCCGCGAAAGCGTTGTCCATTTCGCGAGCTTGGGGTGGCGGAGAACGTCGCCGGCCGTGTCGTGCGTCAAAAAGGACATGCCGGCGTAAGGGAGCATGCCCAGCATGGTCGGGGTGAAGCCTCTGTAGAAGTTGATCAGACCCGAGCGCGGGGCAACGGCGGTGACGGCGGAGGCGGCCGCCTCAGTTGCCGAGGTGCCAGCCGCTTGCGAGGCGGGGGACGTCCGCACAAAACGCTCGTTGTAGATCCGCCGGCAAATCGCGGATAATGAGGAACCGCCGTGTTTTGTCTCAAACGCTAACCGGACCCGAATGACCTCCAAGGGATATGTGAAAAAGACGGATGTGATGCCCGCCAGTGAGCCGCTGATAAGCCGGCGCCAGGGCGTCTCTTGGTCTTGCCTCCGGATAATCATGGAGCGGATCTGCTCGTACGCAAGGAACTTGATTCCGGCGTAGGGGAAGATTCGAAGGAGAGTGGCCGAGTGTCCTCTATACAACCCCGTGAAGCCTTCGTGGGAGCGGATGTCCTTCATTGCCGTCACGACACCGAACCACGACCCAGTGTACTTTGCGAATTGCGGACTGCTCGCCTGGAACAGAATCTTGACTCGGTCAAGAGGTGCGACAACCGTCTTTGCCTGTGGTACAAATCTGCGTCAGCATGACGGATATCCTCTCCACGCCGATTCATTCCTACTGCTACTTACAGCGCATCCTGCCAGGCCTCCCGCGACGCCAGAACGCCAGACATAGTCGAACGTCCGCGTCTGCTTCCTAACGGCTACCGTCTCGTCGTCGTCGGTCGGGCACACGGGAGGGGCCCTCGTGTCTGGCTTCGGTCGCGCAGCATTTCGTTGGTTGTTTGGTGCAACCTCCGACATAGAGGCATGTTCCAGCAGCGCTGACGGCATCACCTAGTCAGCGCAACCCGGCGAGCGCGCTCGTTCGCTTTGGCTGTTTGTGAAAGTGCTGGGCCCGGCGTTACTCGACGAGCATTCCGCGAATCGTGTTTTCCAGAAGTGTGTTTCGAAGTTTTCGGGGTCGAGGAATCGAAGACTGGTAAAGGAGAAACTAAAGGAGCCCGACGCACGAGCTGGCACGCGAGGAGGGTAAGGATCGTGGGGGGGAGTGGTGATCGTGGAGAAGGTTTCCAAGGAGGCAGAGTGCGGGAAGGGAAGGGAAGGGTCTAAAGCCGAAATGCGACGGGGCGGGACGTCATAAAGGCGAGATTTTAAAAACGCTCCTTCTCATTGCACACAACTGGTGCTCTACGGGGGAGGAGCGTAGCGCACGAGCGGTAAATTGGGGGGTTGCCCGCTGAGAGTTCTAGTACGGAGTACAGGGGTCTGGGCCACGAGCCGAAGATTGCCGAGCGTCGACGCGGGCGGATGGTCATTTTCAACTTCTCGACCTCTGCAGCGGGCTGTCTTTCCAGGATCTTCTCTGCTTTTACTCACTTCCGGTCCGGGGTTAGGCCTTTGATACCCACGATACCTCCGCAATTTCACTCCATGTGGGCAGTCGAATCGGGGAATGGCTGCAAAGACTTTTCTCGCACACAGAGAAACTGACTAACACCAGACCGCTGGTCCAAGGGGAAACCACACCAACGCAGGAGGGCCTCGGTAGGATTGGGGACTACAAGCACCGGACTATTTTCTCCCACGGCCACAATAGTTAAGCCCCCACCCGGGTCCGGTCGAGGGGCACTTTGACTGCGCCGGGCCTCAAATCAAGCCTCCGGGGAAGACGCCCCGGGTCAAAGCCACAGGGGCAAGGCACGCTGGTCCTGATACTACTTAGGCGAAGAATGAGAAGAAGATACGATTCTAGTCATGACCTCTACGAGTCTTCCATCAAAGTCCTCTCAGGCATGCTCGTTGCCAAGATGCGTCTTGTTCCAAAATGAAGACCGCTCCGTGTGTCTCGTCGACATCCCGGCCTCGCTGGAGGACAGCCAGTTCTTACCGGGCCAAGGTGCCGAGACAACAGGACAACCACCACAGAGACGGCTCCTGTCGGTCGACCCCGTCTCCGCACCATTTACGCTGCCAGAGCCCCGGGACCCCCAAGCCAACAACCAGACGCCGGCGAGCCAGCTCGCAGACCTCATGATCGAGGCAGCGGTGAAGAGCGCCCTCGATACGCTAAGACGGGGCTACGACGCGCCGTTTTGTCTCCCTCGTGTGACGGGCGGCGGGAGCAGCAGCGACGTCGCCAGCATTACCGGTCGTGAAAGCAGCGTAAGCCCGCAGGATCATCCCGTACGCAAGGACGACGGCGACGATGCTGCCGCTACCACTACCGCAACCACTTCTCGGCCGGCTGCGGCTGCGGCTGCGGCACACTTTTTCCCCTCAGAGTCTACGTACCTGAACGGCTCGATCCAGGAGACTAGAGAATCCTTCCTCTCGACGGCGCCCAAGTTTGACCTCATTATCATGGACCCTCCCTGGCCCAACAAGTCCGCGAGGAGAAAGAAGAAGACGACGGGCGGCTATGCCACCGTCTACGGTCTCAAGGAGACGCGCGCGCTTCTGGACCAGATCCCCGTCGCCGCCCATCTCGCAGACGGCGGTCTCGTTGCCGTCTGGGTGACGAACAAGCCGACGCTGGTAGACTTGCTCACCTCGCCCAAGGGTGTCCTCGCATCCTGGGGCCTCGAGGTCGCTGCCGAGTGGCAATGGGTCAAGATCACGTCGCAAGGCGATGCCATCTTTGATACGGAGTCTGCGTGGAGAAAGCCCTGGGAGAGGCTCATCGTCGCGAGAAAACGGGGTGACAATAAAAAGGTGCCCGGGAGGGTCATTGCCGCGGTCCCTGATGTTCATTCACGGAAGCCGAATCTCCGCTGCATGTTTGACGACCTGCTGCCCCGGGGATATCGCGGCCTAGAGGTGTTTGCGCGTAATCTGACTGCTGGCTGGTGGGCATGGGGCAACGAAGCTCTTCGCTTTCAAGAGTCTCAGCACTGGATCACATCGTCTGAAGAAACAAGGCATACCGTGACTGAGGAATCCGAGTCCAAAGATACCAAAACCAATTGACACTTTTTCTATATCGCATGCCGTCCTTGTTGTGTGTTGTGTGTTGTACAAGACATGCCGATCCGCATGCTACACTATTGTTCTTTCGATTTTTGTACACGTGAATATCCCAACCCCTTCCGTCCCCCCATCCCATGAACTCCCGCAACGGGAAGATGCTCATTTCCTCACCGATCTCTTCGATTGTCTCTTGATCAACCGCCAGCTCTTCGCCTTCCTCTTCTTGGGCGGATCCCACTTGCTATCCAGCTCAACCTCCTTCGTCCCCTGATCCCACTTGCCCGGCGCCGCACCGCGCAAGATCCTACCAGCCTGCTTGCGCAAGAACTTCCTCTCGGGGCTCTCCTTGTCCTTGCTCGGTCTCGCCAGCCGGCCGAGCTGCTTGCGGATGTCGCCGCGGTACTGCTCGCGCGAGACGCTCTCGCGCGCCTCCCACAGCTTCTTGTTCCAGGGCTCGAGGTCCGCGGGCGGGGAGGGCCACACGAAGGGCTTCGTCAGCTGCACCGTCATGACCTTGGTGCTCTGCGGGCGGAAGTAGCCGGAGCCCGTCGACCGCCGCTCGATGGCCGACTGCTTGACCTGGGAGCGCACCGCCGTCGTCTCGACGTTGTAGAGGTTCCAAAGGTAGTCGCGGATGTCGAACTTTGTGAAGGTCAGGGGCACGTTGAAGGTGGCCATGTTGGCTGGGGATTTGTCCTTGCGGACAAAGGTGACGACATGGTTCGGCCTGGAGGGGAGAGAGATTAGCTTTTTGTGAAAGATGTCTTCGAGGTGCGTGGCGCCAGGGGGTGAACGGTGATCTCGGGTGAAGATAGCTGTGATTGGGAAGTTGGACGTACAGATACACTGCCTTGGTTCCCAGCTTGAAGGATGCAGGCCCTTGGCGGGCTACCGCTTGTGCCAATGCCTCCGCCATCTTGTCGTCCGTCGTTGGTTTGGCTGAGCTTACTCGATCGTAGAGCTTCTGCGATGCGAGAATCCAAAAAGTTGACAGTAAGGATTGATCTGATTGCTGATTGGTCGACTCGGGGTCACGTATTTCCGCCCTCACTAGTGGGGCCAGATTTACGGGTGCCGGGCGCAGGTGCGGGAAAATTGGGTCAACGATAGCTCCCTCAAGCCTCAAGGTGTCTCCACAGGAGGTCAATTCTTCCGACCGGGCCCGCTCCCCGGCCCTTGACTCTCGGCTTCAGATACAATCTATGGGCAACTTACCTTGATTCCATGTAGGTATTAACACTTACCTTGGCAGTCCTAGTGAAAGCCAAAGAAGTCCAACTCAGTTTGCTTTTTTTGCGAACGTATACCCAGTCCTAAAATGGCAAAAAATGGCAAGGATGGATCGCTTGTGTGTCAAGCAAAGGTGGAGTCAAGGCATGTCACGCGACGTCCTGCCATGCGTAGATCTCGGACTCCGAAAGTTTGAGCCGGACAGCTTGATACTCTCGCCAATTCAGTGTTTAGCACTACCAATAAGGTACCGATTCAATCATGAGAGCTAGCAGAGCTTCTCCCCTCACTTCCACAGAAACAACACGTCGAGTCTTGGCTGCCTTCATCTGAGGAAGCTTCGATCACTTCACATCGAGATGTGCAAGAGGGGATAAGAAGATCAGTGTACAGATACAATACACGCCTAATGCGTTCATATCCGATGTTTTACCTGGCACGAGAAAGCATCCAACGAGGCAAGAGCAGTGCCGATCAAGGAATGGCCTTGTCCGTCAGAGCTCCAACCCCAGATTCCAAGACCAGACGGGTTATGTAAGGCCGCGCACAAACCTGAGTCTAATCTCCACTGGTTTATGAGGGGAATTGGGAGCACCAAAGCTGGCGGTTCTTTGGCGTTTTTTTCACCCTCCCCTCGCTGCGATGCCATTCTAGCACATTAAGAAGGCATGCACAACTGGGTCAGCTGCAAGTGGACCAGTGACTCAGATTCGACTCACACGCGGTAGACCGCAGAATTTGTTTCCCGAAAGAAGTAAGGGTGGATTGTACTAATAAACACAGCATTGCTAGCAACATGGAGACGCAACTATCCCGTACACATCTGGAAGGCTTTTCCCGTCCTTCTTACAGATCTTCATGAATCATGATGAACTTTTACCATCCATCTGTCATGGCTATTGGTGTCTGACTTAGACATCAAGGCCGTCAACAACCACACCCTTGTTCCAGGTCCAGTTCATGTAGCGAGCGGTCTCCTCGGCCGAAGCGTCGTCGACGAGGGCGCTAATAAGGTACAGAGCGGCATCGATACCGGCGCTGACTCCAGCGGCGGTGATGACGCGAAGACCGCCGAGGCGCATCGCCGCACGGCGGGTAATGGACTCGCGGCGGCCGGAGCTCTTGAAGGACATGCTGCCCTTTCTGATTTAAAGAGTTAGTTTTACTCGAGGCATTGAAGATGGGGTGTAAGTCTGGCCACGTACCTAGCATTAGAGGGTCGGCGACCGGTGTCGGACTTGCGGCGGACGTAGGGGTTCTCATCCTCATCTCCGAGCTCGAAGCGGAGGTTGTTGACAACGTAGCGAGCATCGTCAATGACATCAGTTCTCTCAGTGAGGTTGCGGGTAGCGGCCTCGCTGCAAAGGATCTCGAACTTGGTAATGTAGTCTGAGTGGGTAGTGGCGGAGAGGCCAGCGAGGACACCCTGCTTGGCAAGGAAGAGAGAACCGGTGCAGATGGAGAGGAGGGTACGCTCGTGGGAGGGATCCTTCTGCTGCAGCTCAGAGAAGGCCTGGATGAGAGGAAGGGGCTCGGCATTGTTCTTGAGAATGTTCTCACTGTCGCCGCCTACAATGACAAGGACGTCAAAGTCGCTGAGGCGCTCATAGGCCTCCTTGAAGGGGATTTGGGTGCCAATGGTAACACCAGAGTCGGAGACGACCTTGGGCTCTGCAGCCGCAATGGTACACTCGAAGGCCTTGGAGTCTGCGGGGTCGGGCACTGGTTAGCATAGCTGCAACACAGCGGCGTGCGTGGCGGAAGGAGCGGGGAAGGCTGTGAGGAGGAACTGCCCAGAAGCTTCAAAAAGGTACTATAGGTAACTCACTCTTGTCCTTCTGATCATGAAGGGCAGTGGACAAAGCCTCCATGGGGCCTGCCATGTCAAGAAGGTCGAAGTTGGGTTGCAGGGCGAACAGAACCTCAATGGGCTCGTCCGCCACTGCAGAGCTCTTGTTTGCCATCGTGCCGGTTGTTAATGTGGTGGTTCAAGGGGGGAAGAGTAAGTAATACAGCTTGTGCTAGCTGTAGGGTTGTGTTGGAGTAATTGGGGTACCGAGATGAGTTCTCGGAGAAGGTCGTTGCTGGGGATTGGCGATTGATTGATGAGATTGGGCTGTTTGCTGGTTGATGATGGAAGAAGAAGAGGAAGTGGAAGTGGAAGGAGAAGAGGGAAGCTCTGAGCTATTTGGATGGAAGGAGGGGAGGGGGAAGGAAGTAATAAGGGTCGAGTCATCTGGTCAAAGGTGGTCAAAGGAGGGGTTGGCAGTTGCACCACCAACCCACCAGACCTCTTCTTCTCCTTACCTCGTTACGGTTTACCTGACCTTAGCTGACTTCCATTCCGGAATGTCTACCTCCTCACGCATCACCTTGATGTGGACGTTGAGGTACCTCTCCTCGCGGTATGTCCTCCTTCCCCCCTTTGGATCTACGCAGTTGGCCGGCTTCAAACCAAAGCAACCCCTCCTGCCTACGCGTGCTACCTACGGTCCGCTTGCCCTCGTCCAGCTCAGCTGAGTCAACTGGCCATTGAGTGACTGATCAGGTGCGTTTCTGGAAAAGGCCACAACCCACAACAGCTTCAAGTGGTCCAATGGCCCCACTGTCTCCCGTACGTTTTCTGGGGTCGGGTGCATCGGTGGCCCACGGTGCATGGCGCTCTTTCGCGGATTGCGGGGTTAGTCTCCCCGTGAGGTCACTGGTGGGTCCCGGTACATACCTGCAGGGCACCCGGAACACCGAGATCCAAGTATCTCCACGTTGAACTCTCTTTCCTTGCGGCGTCGCCCGCCCTTGGAGGTGTCGCACTGGCAATTGATTGAGCCCTGCGAGTTGCGACAGAGCACTGTGAGACCCAGCAGGTCAGGCCCCACAGCAGGACTAAGCGAGACCAACCACAAGCTGTGTTGCAAAGCTGTGTGGCCGCCTCCTGCCGAACAGTGGTCTTCCGTCAGGCCCCTCCCATGCCTTGTAGCGTGCCGTCCAATGATCCAACCTATCTTATCGGCCTTCTACAGCGTTCCCGGCCTTGTTCGAGAGAGGGTCCCCAGCAAAGCTTGTACCTTGCATCAGCAGATTCCGTTGCCGTTGCCTGACAGTTGCATGATCTCGACTTGCCCACCTGCGCCCACAGACGGACCTTGCCTTGCTTTTTCCACAAGTGAAGAACATCGTGAGGCTCGATGAAGAGTCACCGCTAACAAAATGGCGTCGTCAGCGTAAGTGGCCAGACTGGTGTTCCCTCTTCGTCTTTTCCCTTCATTTCCCTACAACCTGGGTCGCCTGCGTCATGTGGTGCGCGATATTCCATCCCGCAACTTACCTGCGCCTGCGACTTGTGACAACGCACACAACAAGGCTAATACCAAACTCTCTAGGTCTCTCAAGGACCTGTCCAAAGCCTTGACGTCCTTCTTTGCCTCGCCTTCCCTTCCACTGCCCGACGATGTCGCCCAAGTCATCGATGCCTACCTGAACAAGCACGAGAAATACGAGGATTCGAGCGCCGAGAGACTACAAGATGACTTCCTCGGCATCTGGGATAAGCATGTTAAGAGTGCACCACCCAAGTATGCTGCCTTCGTCCACGTCTTCCGACTTCTGGTGCCTGCGATCCGCACTCCGGCCCGCCTTCTCAAGTGGTGGGATCTACTCAACGATCCGATCCTGGAGAACTTTACTCGGGAGAAGGGCTTGATGGAAGAGTCTCACCATGCGACGCTAGAGGTTCTCATGTTGGACGCGCACGAAGAAGACGATCCAAATGA